ATGGGCCAAACCCAAAGGGTTTGTGGCCCTTCCTCCGTCTTCAGTGCTGTTGCTCTCGTCTCTGCTTCCGTCCTCATGACACTGGCGTCGTGCTTTGACCTCCTTGTCTCCGCTCACGAAGCTCCTGTGATTGCAGTGGCTGCTTTCCTTGCTCTTCCTCACCTCCCTAGTGGATATGCAGCCCCTCAGCAAGCCCAGCTCTTGGCTCTACTTCCCAAGCCCAGCCAGACCTTCCCCCTTCTCACGTGTCTCTGCTGCAGTTCACCCGTCTGTCAGGCCTCCTCATCTCTCGTCTCCCAGATGAGGCAGGGCTGCCTACCTCCTCCTGTCTCCCTAGGACCCACTCCACACATCCCCCAGAGTGATCCTCTCAAACAAAACAGACCTCATCACTCCCCTGCTTAAAGCCCCTCAAGATTTTCCATACATTTAAAATCCAAAGGCCTTCTGTGGCTACAGGGCCCCGTGTGGCCTGGCTGGCCTGCTTCTCGACTGTCCTCCCACTGCCCCCCCGCCCCCCACTATGCTGAGCTGGTTACAGCTGCCTTGCCTTCTTGCTGTCTCTCAGCTTCCCCACCCCAGGGCCTTAGCACTTGCTGTGTCCTTTGTCTGAAGACTTTTCCCCAGTGCTCATGTGACTTGTTCCCTCACCTGGTTCAGGCTTCTGTTCAAATGCCTCCTTATCAGAGAGGCCTTTCTTCCCTGACCGTCACTGCAGAAGCTCATGGCACTCATTGATACGTGCCATTTACTCCTGGTTCTGGGTAATGCCATTCTTCTAGGCAGTTAAGGGGGTCATAGAAGTTTCTCATGCACCTGCCAAAGTGACATCTCCTTGGAAGGAAGACCTGTTCTAGAATTCTTGGGGAGGCCTACAGTTGGGGAGTGCCTTTTGTTGACCTGCAGTTGGAGGGGTGGGGAAGATGAGAGGAGGTTGCTGCAAGAGAGAGAATGGGAGATGACCAACCCCATTCCTGTTTCCTCCCATAGCTAGCCCCCCTCACCCCCAGCAAGCCTTCCCAGCTCAGGAGGCCCACACTGGGTCACCCAGCCTTGGTAGCAAGGGCACTCAGAGCCCGCCCTCTGTCTTCCCCCACAGGGAGAAGCACCAGAAGCTGAGTGCAGGTGCAGAGGCAGGCTCTGAGCATACAGACCCTGGTGAAGGTAGGTGTCTCCCGTCTGGACTCAAGGTGATCTGAGCCTTCTGCAGGGTGCTATGGGAAAGATGCTGGGAGGTCAGACCCTGCCTGCTCTGCCCTCACTCCACGTCTGCCTCCAGCCCCCAGGGACCCGCTGGCCCAGCTGCTCCAGGTGTTACAGGCCCTCCGGGAGGCCCACACCACCAGTCCTGCTGGCTGCCTGCCCTCAGAGCCGAACCGCCTCCGGGAGCTGCAGACATGAGGCCTGCCCCATGCTTTGTCCTCACCAGGTGCTTGGAGACTCCAGTGCATTCTGGGCCCTTTACCTCAGTCCCTCTCATTGGGGTGCAAGGCCTGGATCTCCCTTGGATGTGGTGAATTGAGGGAAGCAGTGACCAGGGTGTCTAGAAATCCAGAGCTGACCAGATTTTAGCCTTTTGTGGTCCACTAGAAATCTCTAGGGCTTTCTGGGGGCTCCTGCTTCTTGGAGGACTAACTGCTCCTGCAGCCATTGTTCCTGCTAGCACAGACCCCCTGCCCACCCCTCGCCCCCCCACCCCAGGGATCCTCTGCTCCTGCCCAGGGCAGACCCAGTCAGAAACCACCCTAGGAAGGTCCATGTTCAGATGAACTCTCGCTCCTTGGTCTTAGAGAAGCAGGAGGGAACACGGTGCCCCAGGAGACCAGGCCTTGACCTCAGCATCCTCCTCCTGGCCACCACCCCACTCACTCCCCTCATTGCCACTGGCTGTGCCCCCTGGGAGGAGCACCGTGGTGCTCTGTTGCTGACAATAAATCTGCTGTGACTGCTGAAGCTCTGGGGACTCCTGCTGGGGGTGGAGGGCAGGGGTGGGCCTGGTGGCCCCCGATGGCTGCTGGTAGTGGTGGCGGGCTTGGGGTGCTGCCATCATAGCCTCTGCATCCCCAGCCCTCCATCCTTGCTTTTCCCATCCCAGGGGGGCTCCTTTCTCTCTGGTTGCTGGCCCCCCCCATACCCCTGGGCCCCACTCCTCCACCCCCATAGGCTACAGAGCCTGATGTTTCACCGGCTGTCTTTTCCTCAAAGCTCCCAAACAGCCCCTTCTGCTAGGTGTCCTGAAGACTGCACGGTGGGGAGGTTCCAGACCCTCCAGTCATGTGTCCTTACTCTGGCAGTGGCCCTACACCAGCCGCCTCAGCCAAAGCAGGACATCTCCCCACTGCATCTCATCCATCTTCATCTCCAGCATGGCTGATGAGAGGGGAGGGCCAAGTCTTCAGTGCCGTTTTAACGCTCATCTAAGTGAGCTCAGAGCTGAGCCTGTAAACCCTAGACCTGGGACACTGCTCAAGGTCCTGGTCACAGGCAGGATCCCTGACCCGCTGTCCAGCCGGGCTCTGGGGCAGGCAGCATATTGGCCCCTGAAGGGAGGCATAGAAACGCAAAAGGGGGATGATGGAACATCATGTACTGAATGGCTTTGGGGGCCATGCCAGCCTCTTCTGGCCATGGTCTGGATTCAGGGCAGTGTTCCCCCCACAAGCAGCCCTTGGATGTTCATCAGTTGCAGGGTTAGTCCCACCCAACACCCCAGGACTTGAGTTTGGGGTAGCCCAGCCTGCTTTGCCCCTCCCCCAATACCAAAACCTGGTTCTCTAGCTACTTCCTTAGGGCTTCACTCAAATCTCATGCCTGCTAGACCTTCTTGGGTTTCAAGAACCTCATGGTCAGGAGGCAGGGACCCCAGGGCCTACTGAGCCCTAAGCAGGGAGTGCAGAGGTCAGAAGTATGCACATACTCAGGTGTAATCCTGGATCTGAGCTTACTGCCACCCACCTGGCAACACCCACCATGGATCCTGGCATGGGTGTGGCCACCACAGCCAGAGGGAAGTTAAAGTAAGTACCTGGCACTGCCCACGTTCATGTGCACCTGACACACCAAGGCTCTCCTCTCAGACAACGTGCAGAGCTGTCTGATTGGGCCCTCAGACGGATGTCTGCAGCCCAGGTGGCTGGCATTCAGCACCGGGCAGGCACCTTGGGAGCCCGGAGCGGTCTCGGCTCACACGACATGTGCTTCATCCCCAGGGCCTGTCCTGTAGGAAATCTAGGCGAGTTCCCACCAACCTCCTTGGGGCCAATTCATGTCAAAGGATAATTTTAAAATATGTTTTAAAAATGACTATAAATGGAGAGTGAATATTTGTCAAATATTTTACACATCAGTTGAGGAAACAAGTATTTGGCAAAGCTGGTTCATGGGATATTTTGAGAAGCTAGGTATTTATAAGTATTTTGAGAAAAGAATACAAAATAAGATTGTTACGTTAGATACAAAACTCTGTAGTGGAGTTTTCTTCTCTATGGGAGAGAAACCAATGAGTAATAGTGTCTTGATTGTAATGAAACTCTAGAGAGTGGAATCAAACAAGTCCACTCCCCAAGATTAGAGGTTGGCAAGCCTTTTTTTTTTTTTTTTGTAAAGGGCCAAGCACGCAGGTCTTGGTCACAGTTACTTTAACGCAAAGGCAGTCACAGACATTGAGTAAACAAAGGGTGTAGTTAGTTCAGCAAAAATTTTATTTATAAAAGCAGGCAGCAAGCTCAATTTGGTCCACAAACTCTCAGTTTGATGATCTTGGCTGTAGATCCTGAAATGTCCCTAGGTCAGGTCTGTGCAACAATGATTCAGTGTGACACCAACAGAACATGCCTCCGTCCACAGCTGGATGATGTTCCAGCGGCCCTTTCCTCAGTGGGCCAGGCAGGTCTTAGTCTTACAAGAAGATGGGATAGTTCTTAGGCTGCCTCTTGGGACACGCCAACACCTAGCCACTCGTGGATGGGCTGGCAACTTCTGTAGCCCAGTTTTCTTACTGGTCTGAGAAACAAAGGACAATTGTCATTAAACATCCTAAGAGAGGACAGGCTTCCAATGGCAGGGAGGGGGAAGACCCAACTGGGTGAAAATCCTTCACTTCCAGGCCCCTGACAGGGATCCTGGCAAAGGTGGGGTCCCTGGCCCAAGCTTTTCCAAGATGATCCAGAAAGGGTGAGGTTTATAGCCTTAGGGCATTATTACCCTCATCACCTTCATTCTTCTGCAGTTAAAGAGACACACACACACACACTGGCCTCAAGGTCAGCGTGCCACTCTCCAGTGAATGACTTCCTCACCCCAGCCCTCCAATCTCAAGAAGGAAATGGCCTTCCCAGGAAGTGGTGGGAAAAGCTCCAGATTTCACTGAGGGCTCCTGAGCTGCTGCTCAGCCCTAGAGAAACAGCTGGGGAGCGGTTAGGGCTCCAGTAGCTAATCAAGACCCCAGTCCCTGTTGCTAAATACGGTAGGGCCTTTATAATAAGCTTCCAGCTGTGAAATATCGACTAATCGAAACGGACTGGTCACTTCTCCCTGAGGTGCTCTGTATCTCTGCCTCCTTCCCAAACCTCAGCCTACTTGCCGCCCCCCCCCCGCCCCCGCAAGAAGCTCACTGGCCCACAAGTCCAGTTGGCAAGGCACTGACAGCCCAGTGAGGGGTCTGCAGCACTGCGCCCGGGCAGCTGGGGCCAGGGCTTATACACGAGCATCTGGATGCCCACGAGCCCATCAGGGTCCTCTGCTCCCGCTGGCGGCCTGGTCTGTCCACACCCAGTGCGCTCCTACGGCACATTTCCAAAGAGGGCTTTGGGGACATGGGATGCGCAGAGGCGCTCAGCTTGAGGTTCGCGCTTAGCCTGGAAGAGAATAACACCACAGAGCGCAGCGCATGCGCAGTCACCAGCCTCCCCCGTCTCTCCGGCTTTCCTCGCGCCTGCGCCAGGTCCTCCGCTCCGACAGGGGGCGTCAGCCGGGCCTGGTGCCGCCCGCGCAGCCCGGAAGTGGCCGCTAACCCGGAAGAGGTCGCGTAACGGGAGTCTGGGGGCGGTGGGGCTGCGGCGCGAGGATGAACGCCCCTCCTGCCTTCGAGTCGTTCTTGCTCTTCGAGGGCGAGAAGAAGTAAGTGGAACCGGCGGGCCGAGAGGGTCGGGCGGGTCGGGCCTGGAGTCGCGGACCCGCGGCGGCTTCTCCCGGTTCTCTGCCGCGGGGCCGGAGCGCTTTTGGCTTGAGCGTCCACTCTGCCAAACTTCAGACGGCCCTGCGAGGCGGGGGTGACCCCACCTAGCTTGGAAATGACGAAACTTGCCCAGAGATGTTAAGTCACCGCCCCGGGCACGCAGGAATTGGCGGGGCTTCTTCAAACCCAGAACGTCTGACTCCAGAGCCCTTGCCCCCTGGCATCTGGCCGCCTGCTCCCGTGCCTTCCTGTCGGCCTCCTGCCTTGGGGCAGCCAGAGTGATCGCTCCAGAACACGCGGCTGTGTAAAGCTCCAGCCACTCCCCATGCCTGCAGGGGCATGGAAGATGAAGTCTAGTGGTCAGAGAGACTTGGCTCCTGGATCCCCCACTTGCCTCATCTGGAAAATGGGCTAGCTGGGGTATTTAGTCAGAGGACCTTTTCTTAGATTAAATGAGCTTGTAAAATTCAGAGTTCAGCACGTAGAAGAGCCTCCTAAGCAGTGGTTTTTATTTCTCCTTAACAGCCTGGTATGCAGGGTTCCGTGGTCTAGTCCCTGCCAGCCACTATGGTCTTCTCTGAGAGTGGTTCTCAATTGGGGACCATTTAGGATCCTCAGGATATTTAGCGATGTCTGGAAACATTTTGAGATTTCTCAAGGGGTGAAGGTACTACTGGCATCTAGTGGGTAGATGCCAGCCGTGCTGTTAATATCTCAGTTTACAAGAGCGCTCGCTTCAAAAGAGCATTGTCTAGCCTAAAATAGCAGTGGTGCCAAAGTTGGGAAATTGCTTTCAGAAAGAACAATCTAGAGCAGGTGGGGGTCCTTGGGGTCAGAGTTAGGCTCAGTGGTGCTCTCAAAGAGGTCTTTGGGGGGTGGACAGAGTGATGGCTTTCAGAAGCAGGTGGGGCATGAGTCTGTCTGAAGTACGGGGTGTAGACTGGAGGAGGGGAGCCCTCTCCCCCATCCGTTGCCTCTGCCTCTTCCTAGGATCACCATTAACAAGGACACCAAGGTACCCAATGCTTGTTTATTCACCATCAACAAAGAAGACCACACGCTGGGAAACATCATTAAATCGTAAGTCCAAGCCAAAGACTCAGAGACTGTTTAATGGGACTCTTTGAGGCAAAGCACAAATTCCAGATTTTCTGAGGTCTGAGCTCCAGGGACTCCTTCTGGTTGCTTACTCTGGCAGTTTACACACCCCGGCACTGCAAGTCCTCAAGTGATGTCATTTTGTCATTGAGAAAAAAGTCCTGGCCAATGTTGACTAAAAGTAAGTTATTCAAGGACCTGTTTTCCTTGTATGTCACTTCACTTAAAGTGAAGTCGTAGTTCCCAATAGCCTATAGATGAGGCCATTAATGAGAACTTAATTTTTTCAGTTACACTGACTCGTGTGTTCCATCGGCTCGTGTATGTGACTATAGTACGTAAATACACAGCAAGCCAGAGAAGCAGCCTCCTTGTGTTGCTGGCTAGTGAGCATGGCGGGCCTTCAGGGTTGGCTCTCATCCACCTGCTCCTGCTTGAGCTGAAGACCTTTTAACACCTGGCATAATGAGATGTAATCAGTGGCTACTTTAACTTTGGGAAGGGCAGGGGGAGGAAGAGGGGCTCTGCTTGGTTATCTGGTGTTACCGGTTGGTGAGTGTTGGGTTGGCCAGTGGTTAGCAATGGTGATTGCTGTCTTCCCCAGCCACTGCTGTCAGTGAAGTCAGGCCTATGCCCAGGCATACGTGTTTGAGGCTGTGCACAGAAGCCAGCCTTTTCTGGTGTTAAGTAGGGGGTGGAGTGGGCCAGCTCTGTCCCCATGACTCCAGCCCTGGAGCCTCACCCAGTGTCCCCCCCTCCCCCCCACTTGAACCCTGTCTGCACCGGTGTACAGGCCTTCCTCTTACTCTTGGTGCTCCTGACCCACCCATGCCCAGCGTGCGACAGGCTTGGCTTAACACTTGCTCTAAGCCGTCTCCATTTTCACTACAGTTCTAGAGCCTGGGTTCTTCCTTCCTGCTGCCTCTGGTTGCTGTGCCAGGTGCTCTGGAGTTGGAAGTGGGGCTTATTCTTTTCTGGCTTAAGCACAGGTAGGATGTTTCCAGCCTAGGGAGGTCTGTCTGGGGATACATGCAGGCTCCCCAGCTTCCCTACTAAAGGAAGTGGGCAAGTGTTTGTTGGTAGACCTTGTTTCCCAGCAAGGGTCCTTGATCCTGTGGGTGCGGGTGGGGTTAGTCCCGACAAGGTATATCTGTCCATTATTTTGCGTGCGGGGGTGGGGGTATGTGTTGGAGGGGGGACAGGGTGAGTGGGCCAGAGGCGGCCCGGGAGGGGAGAGGGGAAGCGGGGAGAGGATTCACCAGAGGCAGAACATGAACGCTGCAGCAGGCAAGACAGAGGCCTGCTGCGCCCTGTGTTCGTCAGCTCCCTGGCCGGGGATCGAACTCAGGCCGTAGGCGTGATAGCGCTGAGCCTTAACCCCTAGGCCAACCAGGGAGGCCCTCAGAGGGTCTGTTTTACTGATGAGGAGTAGTTGTTGTTGTTAGGAGGGTGAAAGCCTAAAAATGAATGGGAACACCTGGGTGTGGGCCTCAGCTTTTGCTTCAGGCCTCAGCCCTACAAGAAGATTCCGGGGGGGTGGGGGGAAGAAAAGAGGGGGAAAAAAAAGAAAAAAAAAAAAGAAAAAAAAAAAAAAAAGATTCCGGCTTAGACCTGGTGAGCCCAAGGACACTAGGCTCAGCCTCGCTCAGCCTCCCTCACCCCTTGCCACCTCATACCTGTATTCCAGGCAGCTGTTGAAGGACCCACAGGTGCTGTTTGCTGGTTACAAAGTCCCCCACCCCTTGGAGCACAAAATCATCATCCGCGTGCAGACCACCCCGGACTACAGCCCCCAGGAGGCCTTCACCAATGCCATCACAGACCTCATCAGCGAGCTCTCCCTGCTGGAAGAGCGGTTCCGGGTGAGGGGGTCAGACAGCAGCTGGGGGGCGGGAAGGCGGCAGTTCTCTGGTTTATATGTGGGAAGGGGTGGCGATAGGCACAGAGCAAAGGCTTCCAGCATAGCCTCCAGGAAGTGTGGACTGAAGCACAGTGCAGTTCGGGCCTGCGACTGCTGTCTACACTCATGGCTGGGAACCTGACCCAGTACCCCAGGTTCTCATTGTGCCTCCCCTTGGTCTCTATAGAAGCAAAGGACCAGATGCCCCTTGGGGCTGCTCTGATTTGTAAGGCCTGCTACTTCCAGGGCATTTGGGGGTTGGGAGGAGAGCTCATCCTAGACTGGGGTCCCACAGCTGAGGCCAGATGGGTGTGGTCACACCTGTTCATGGCAGGGGACCACCGACTCTAAGCCCAGCTGAGATGGGAAGGAAAGCTCCGCAGCCTGTCAGGTCTCGGCATCTCAGCCATGTGCTCACCTGGAGCGCCTCTGCTCCAGGCCACATGCTGCGAAGTAATGGGGTAGGCTGCGCCAGCTCCCTGGAGCTGTTGGGTTCCTGGCTTGCTCTTTCTGTAGAGCTCATGGCTACGCACTTGTTGTTGCCGGCGTTGCACGTCTGATGGCCTCACTGCACGTTCCAGCCACATCTCATGCTTTCTTCCTCTCCCCCAGGTGGCCATCAAAGATAAGCAAGAAGGAATTGAGTAGCAGCGTGGAAGGCGTCTTGCTTCGCTGTTTCTGACCCTGCACTGGACCTTTCTGTAGGCACCAACTGGAGGACAGCAGCCTCTCCCAGCTGTGGGTCTCCTTGTAGATATCCCAACAAGCCCCTCACCCGACACCCATGTGTCCTGTACATAGATGTTTTTTCTAATAAAGTGTGGCAGAAACCACTGTCTGTGTGGTTGTCAGGTAGGTGATCTATTTCAAAGCTACTGGGGGCCCACGGTTAAAGTACATTGGCCGGGAGATCAAGATTTCCTCAAGGGTGGAAGAATAACCTCATTTTGTACCAACAACTGGGAGTGGGGTGGTGGTGCTGCCAGGAGGGAACTGAAAACCCCTACACTTCATGAGTCTCTGCTCCTAGTTCTGCCTTCTTAAAGTAGGAGCACAAGATGGGACCCACGAACACGCTCCAACGACTTCTCACAGAGAGTTTAATAAAAACACCCACTGGTAAAAATATCTCCATCATTATAAAAGCTGAATAAGTTAAGTTGTGTTGTGTCCCTGGTGCTTTGCAAGAGGCAGGAGCTCCAGCTCGAGGCTACTGTCTTTTCCAGATAGCCACGATGTTGGAGTCTGTCAGAGCGGTGAGGTAGGTAAAGGTGGGGTTGGCCACCACTGTGTTCACCATGGTCTTGGTCACCGTCTGGCCCAGGGCCCGGGGTTGGGGCCACTTGAGAATCTGGTGGAAAGAGAGGTCTGGGTTTCTGTTCCCCAGACACCAGCCCCAGTGGGGGAGGGATGTGCGTACCTGCACTGGAGCCTGCGGGGATGCCGGCAAAGGCAGCTGCTGCGTCAGGATCTGCCTGATGTCGTAGATCCACACGTTACCCTCCTCATCCCCGCAGAGCACAATCCCCTCATCTGCAGAGAAAGAACCCGAAGCCTAAGTGGGGTAGGCCAAGGCTCCAAGAGGAGGTGGGGAGGGGGCGGGCAGGCTCACCAGGACAGGCACTGAGCGAGAAGTAGGCCAGATCCGTGGGTGACCACTGCAGCCGAGCCAGCACAACCACTGCCACCGTGGGCTGGCTGCCCCGGCCCATCCAGGTCTGGCTCCAGCTCCATAGGCAGATGGTGCCCTGGCCATTCCCCTTGGAGGCTGTGGGAGAGAACAAAAAACTGCCTGGGGGCCCTCTAGACACTTCCCTGTTCCACACTAGGGACCCCCTCAAAAGCCCTTGGACCTAAACCCCAGTCTAGGGGAAGGCAACCCATGAAGGACTTTCTGGAGTCCATCCGGGTCCTAGGGAGTCAGGCTGTCCCAAGCTGGGCTCACTCACCCACAACGTCCTCATTCACAAATGCCAGCCCATCCACTCTCCGTCCAGATGCCTCGGAACCCTCAGAGAAGACAAACTCCACTTCACACGGCCTGCAGGGCAGCAAGAGATACCGGTCAGCTGTTCCTTGCACATACAAAGCTCACTTACTCAGGTGTCTGCCAGGCAGCTGCTCTGGGCCTTGCCCGTGTGAAGACTAGAAGATGGACCCCCAAAGCTGCCTTCCAGGTCCTGGATCCCCACCCCACGCCCGAGTGCACTGACAGGTGCTGGGAGCCTAGAAGCATGAGGGGCTGGCTCTTCGAGCATCGGGGTTACGGCCATGGCCAGGAAGGGTTTTGGGGAGGTTCCCAGGAGAAGCGCTGGGGCCTGAGATGGGAGAGACTGGGGAAGGGTGTGGGGTTTGGGGTTTGCTCTGACCCCAAGGACAGTGGGAAATGGCTGCCTAATGCTCCCAAGCTGAGTGTGCAGGGGTCACAGCTGCGCTTGGAAAGACCACCAGTAGCCGCCCCAAGCCCTAGAGAGGCTGAAAGGCAGACAAGTACCAACTACAAAGCAGACGCATCTGACAGGTGGGAGAAATGGCACCACAGGGGAGCAGGAAAGAGGCAGGCACAGGGCTACCCCCAATGCTCGGCTAGACAACTGCCACTGTCAGTGCTGCAGCTTCTGCGGCTTTGCTCCTACCACCAACCCTGAGAATCTCCCCAGGCTACTCCCTGGCTTCAAACTATGTTACAGGCCGCAGTAATCGAAGAACTGTCATTAAAACAGACCAATGGAACAGAACAGAAAGCCCAGAAATAAAACCATGTATACACGGTCATAGGATTTATGCCAAAGGAGGTTAGAAAATGAGGATAGTCCACTAGCTGCTAGGAAAATTGGATCACTACACAAACATTAGCTCAAAGTGGATGAAATACTTGAATAAGAACTGAAATCAAATTCCTAGGAAAAGATTTGGTAAGCCTGACACTGGTTTTAGCAATGCATTTCTGTATCTGACCTGAAAGGCAAGGGTAACAAAAGCAAAAATAAACATGGAACTCATCACACTTTTAGTTCAGCTTCTGCACAACGAAGAGTACATCGACAAAATGAAAATACGATATACGGAGTGGGAGAAGACACTCGTGAATCACATCTGATGAGGGGTTCACATCCAAAATACACAAGGGCCTCCCTCGTGGCACAAGGGGTTAAGTCTCAGCACTATGAAGCTATCTGCAGCCACTGCAGCACGAGTTCGATCCCTGGTTAGGGAGCTACCCAAGTGGCACAGCAGACCTCTCCTGGCTCGCCAGCTACTCCCTCAGCAGTGTATTTCAGTAGATCCGCCTGTTCTGCTCCCCTCTCTGTCTCTGTGAATCCTCACTCCCCCACACCTCTGGCCTGTACCTAGTTCTTGTATGCATAAATAAATCTTTAAAAAATATATATCCAAAATACATAAACAATGCAGGCAACTCAAAAATATGATTTAAAAAATGAGCAGAGAGGGGCGTCCCCAGTGGCGCAGTGGTTGAGTGCTGGGTTGCAGAGCTGCCCACAGCCTCTGCAGCGCCGGTTCGATCCCCGGCCACCGGGCAAGGGTCCCACATGGCGTGCAGACCTCTCCTGCCACCCACTGCTCCCCTCAGCAGTGTACTTCATCAGTCTGCCTGTTCTGTTCCCCGCTCTGGCTCTGGTGAATTCTCTCACCCTCCCGCGCTTCTGACTGTACCCAGTGCTTGTATAAATAAATAAATAAATAAATCTTAAAAAAAAAAAAAGCAGACATTAAAAAAAAAAAACTACCCAGGGAAATGCAAATCAGAAGCAGGAGACTCCATGTCACTCCTGTCAGAATGACTGCGGTCAAAGACAAGAAACAGGTACTGGGAAGAAAGGGGAACATCGCGCACCGCTGGTGGGGGCGCAGGCTGATGTGACCACCATGGAGAACATGGAGGGGCTCAAAAACTGAAAACAGAACTACCAGGGTATGTACCCGAAAGCAGGAAAGGCTACTTTGAAAAGATGACTACGACCCCGTGTTCACTGCAGCATTACTTACAGCAGCCAAGATACGGGCACAACGTCCTCATCACATTTAGGAGACAATGCAGAATCTTTCACAGCCCTGCTACTTCGCTTCGTGCCCTTTCCTAAAGTCTCTCGGCTGTGGCCAGGCCTCCCTGGCGGCCTGCGCTCCCACCACTGTGCTGTGCCGCATCCTCTGCCTGCCCGCCTGCCTCGCAGGCTCACATGGACAGTCCGAGCCTGAGCACCTGCCACCGGTCACCTCTTTAGAGCCCTCTCAGGCTCCCTGTTCCTCTCAGAGCACCTCATTCCTTTGTAGGTGACAACGCTGGGGCTTAACTGGCCACCTTGTTTAATGCCTGTCTCTCCCACCAGGAACTCACTGGCTGTCGCAGGGACCGCATGCCCAGCATTCTCCAGCCTTCCGGGGGTATAGATAAACCTTAAGTTCAGGGCAGGCAATGACGAGACCAGGGCAGGCCTGGTACCTGCTCCCAAAGCTGCCCGAGAACAAGCTCACTAGGGCCATCTGGTGGCGCACCGTTGTAAACCCAGTTAAAGCCACTATAAATGTTTAAAATTTGGCAGGCGGGTGTGGAAAACTTGTTTCAAAGTTGTCCAAGACAAAGCCTCTTAAGTCCATTCCCTTAGCTATTAAAACCCCCAGCGCCACCTGCCAATACAGAAACAGTCTGCCTCTCGCTGGCTCCCTCCTCGCCCCGCGCATGGGGGGCCGGCTTCAGACTCCACCTGGGCTGTGACCCAGCCGGTCCATCCCCCAGACACCATCTTCCCTGCCTCCACTCGTCCTGGACGTCAGCACCCCCACCTCACAGAGGAGGGTCACACTGCTGGCCCTGCGGGACCTGGGTGGGCAGTAAAGCCAGAGCTAAAAGGGAGGGGCTCACAGCCCAGAGGGGACGGACCCAGCCCAGCCTCCCAGCCTGAGAGGTTGCAGGTCCTCTCCTGGAGGCGCTAGCAGGAGGCGGGCAGGCTAGCGCTGTGAAGAGGCCTCTGAAAACAGCCGTAGTAGCTGCCCAGGGCAGGGGTTTGGTTCAGTCCCTCCCAAGCAGGCACGTCAGCCTTCCACACTAGCAGTCCCGCTCGGAGGCTTGGCTTTCTGGGCATCCCTACCAGCCTCACCTCCTCTTCTGGGGCTGGTCCAGCCGCACGTCCCAGCAGCAGCAGCCACCTTCACAGCCAGCTAGCAGGTAGGCATCTGGGCAAGAGGCGACTGGGCAAAGGCGCAGGGGGATGGAGGTGGTGTCGAGTGTCAGCAGCTGGCTGTAGCAGGTGAGGGGCAGCGTGAGCCCACAGACCAGAGGGCAGTCCCCCTCACCACCAGCCGGCCCCTCCCCAGCCCTGCCCCAAAACATCACCTGCCCTGGAATTCATAATCGTGGTTGAGCGCCCCGATATCCCAAAGGATGATCCGCTTGTCATAGGAGGCCGCTGAGGAGGGGAGATGGAGAGGGAGAGGTGGCCCTGAGGACATCCTGCCCCTCCTGCAGGCTGCATTGCAGGTTGGACAGTGACCCCAAGGCCAGCCTGAGGCAGGGAGGGCAGACCAGAGCTGGGGCAAAATCTCAGGGGCCTTATAGCCCCTCTCTTGCCAAAACCTCACATGCTCCTCTGCTCATACATCACCCTTAGGCTCACCACACCTGGAAGGCCAGAGGTACCCTCCCTCCCAGGATAGACAGAGTGGACCAAGCTATTAACTCCAAGGGCACAGAAGAGGTTGTGAGTAAAGCCTGGATCAGTTGGTCATGAAGCCATAGCACTTGGCCACAGCCAGGGCTGATTCCAGCAGCCCAGTGAGCCCCGCCCCCCTCACCCCGCCAAATAAGCTCCCTGCCAGCCTGGGGAGGGTGCACTGAGGTGTCATGGCTGCAGGACTGGAGTGCTGGGGACCCTGGGAGGATAGGGAGAGGGTCTTACTGAAGAGATGGGTCTCATGTGTGGGGCTGAAGCAGAGGGTGGCGATGGCCTTCTTGTGGGCCCGGATGACCCCACAGCAGAAGCCGGCCCGCACGTGCAGCAGCCGGACCAGGCCCCGTAGGCCTGCAGCTGCCAGCACACTCCAGCGCTTCTTGTGACCTGCCTGTGTGACCACAGTCAGGGCTGTCCAGGCCACGGAGAAGAATTCCTGAGGTGGGGAGAAGTGGTCAAGAGGGATAGAGCTACTTGTGTGCAAGTGCACAGGGTATGGGGCTCAGGGACTGAGGCCCAGCAGCAAAGAAAAAAGTCACCTAGTGAGCAGGTGGCTGGGTCTGGACTCCAGGGAGCGAGGGCTGTGCCCACAGCCCTAACCCTCACCTCTCCAGGTGACTTGTACTTGTGCAGTACGATGCCTGTTTGGCAGTCGATCACACACACCGCCTCCCCGCCACATGTGGCCACGGTCTGGGACGTGGCCCCTGCACGCCCTGTAATGAAAGGTAGGCCTAGTAGCAACATTTTCTGGAAAGATATCCCTGCAGCTCCCCCTCCCAGCCTTAACATTTTTTAAGTTCTTTGTCTCTCCTGTCTCTCAGGGCTCATTCTGCCCTGGCTGCCGACCTCCAGGTGGTATTCCCAGGCCTCCTGTCTAGAAGCTTGCTCTGTTTTTGTCTACTGTGGTGCCACCTGCCCGCCCACCAGGGACATACCCTCGTCCCAGGCTGGCTCAAAGGCACAGGCCCACAGCTGGGTCTCCAGGTCCTGAGGGCTGTTGTTCTTGCTGTGACACTGCAGGAAGTGCAGGGGCTCCAGCTGCAAGCCAGGCTGTGAGGGCACAGGGGGTCAGGGCTGCCCCAGCCCTTGCTCCCCACCACGCTCCCTCCACCTTGCCAGCTTACCTGGCTGCCATCAGAGCTTGCGGGACTGCCCTCCCCCTTGGCTGGTGGCGAGGGGCACGCCCGCTTATTGGAGGAGAGGTTGAGCGGGACAGCATCCGGTCGTTTCAAGGCCACTGGCCGGGCCTGTGGGGGGAGGGGGTGGGCTGAGGGCCTTGTGGCCATGGGCCCAAGTGCCTGGGCTTCCTCCCTATCATAGGCTGGACCTTCCCACTGGTGTGGGAGGACACAGCTGGTCCAGGGTCAGAGGCACTGGCTTGCTATTAGAGGCCATTTCCCGGGCTCATTTCCAGGAACCCCCCTTCCCCTCAGTCTTCCTAGGCAGGAAGGGCCAAAGCAGGTCCTTGGAGCCACACAGAACCACTCACCCTGGACTTCTGGGCAGCTGTGGCTTTCGGGGGCTTCTCTGGGACATCTGCCTCCTGCACCTGGGTCCCACCAGAGGCCACCAGCGCCTCAGAGATCATCTGCACCTGGGTGGATGAGGCCATCAAAAGTTGGGCACAGTCCTTAGTGTCCTCAGCCCTTCCCCAGAGGTGGGAGGTGATGGTAAGAGGGAACTTTCCTGAGTTAGGAAAGATCTTCCCAGCCAGTGACTCACCCCACTCCCCACAACCCCTCATGGTCAGAGACCACAATGCAGCTGAGGACATGGAAGCCAGGGAGATGGGAGCACCTAGCCCCGGCTCAATGGGATGAGGACGTACCCGCCACTGGGTGAACTCGCTGAGGGACTCCGGCCCGTAGCGGACATCCCTGACAGCAGACCTCACGAAGTCGGCCTGGGCCTTCTCAGCCTCCTCCTCCGGGCTCAGTGTGGACATGAACTTCTTCCAGTGCGCTGTGACCTGGCCGGGGAGGGACCAGATCCAGGCCCAGCCCACTCTAGCTCTCCTGGACCCTCCATGGTCTCTCTGCTCCCAATCTCAAAGCCATAGGTGCTTCAACCTTATTTTCTAGAAGTTTGCCTGGAAACTGCCCTAGCAGGTTGCACATACCTACACATCAGTCCAAAACCAAGAAACTCCTGGAAAGGGAGGAGCTGGCCCAGGATAAAGTAACTGTGAAAGTGTCCTAGCCTCCTCTTGTCGTAGCCTGCACCCTTGGGGGCCAGGACTTCCAAGGACAAGCCAAGCACCACAGCCAGGCTCAGAGCAACACACCAGGCTAGAGGTCAAGGGCCGCTGGGTCAGGGCAAGGAGCCCCCTCAGCATCCTCTAAACATCCAATCTGTCACTGTCTCAAGGTCCCCGACTGCAACCAAGCACCAGAGACACTTCCCAGCCCCTTACCCTGCGGGTCAGCTCCCGGTTCAGATTCTCCACCTGCGAGGAAGTGGAAGAAGCATCCTTGCCGTTGACCTTACGGAGCGTGGGCAGGAGAAAGGAGACTTTCAGGTTGTCACTGACCTGAGGGATGAGGGAAAAGTGGCTGTTAGGCCTTAGGCACGGGCCCTCTTAAACCCGCCTGTGCCACAAACGCTGAGCCGAAAACACTGCTGCTGCTCAACTGATTGGCTGTTAGGCAACTATACCATGAAACATGACAAAATCATGAGGAAACAAAGGATATTAATGAAAAAAGACCTAATGAGACACTTTTTCTCTAAGAAGTCTCCCTTCTGTCAGAGAGCTACCAGTTTCCACACAGGATATGCACCTGTACCCAAGCCCTGTACTGCACTGTCTAAACTTTCTATGCGATCGTTCCAGATAGGAGATGCTGTTTCTCATCATTCTATGCAACCTGCATCACCACTCGTACATATATGTGGACTTCACTACATATATGTCCCATCCTTCCACTTCACCAAATTACCTACGTGAAAACTCTGTCTACTTCATGTTCTCCACTATTCTCCACTTTCAAATATCGAAATGTTCACTTTTTTTCCACTGAAGAATTGTATGTGTACATGGGCCTCCCCGGTGGCGCAGCGGTTGAGCGCTGGGTTGCGAAGCTGCCCGCGGCCTCTGCAGCACCGGTTCGATCCCCGGCTGCTCCCCGGCCACCGGAGGAGGGTCCCACATGGCGCGCAGACCTCTCCTGCCGCCCGCTGCTCCCCTCAGCAGTGTACTTCGGTCCTTCTGCCTGCTCTGCTCCCCGCTCTGGCTCTGGTGAATCCTCTCACCCTCCCGCGCTTCTGACTGTACCCAGTGCACGTATAAACAAACAAACAAACATAAATAAATAAACATGCCTCTATAAAAAAAATAAAAAAAAAAAACCAAAAAGAATTGTATGTGTACAGATGGATTACAGCACTAGAAAGAAGGATCCCGGCATTTTCTGTCCTGGGTATTTTCATGTTACTCCTCTACTGTCCGTGACGCCCGCTGAAGCTGTCAGTACAATGAACCAAACTGATGAGAGCAGGTTATTCTTCCATTTCTCTAGATCTGTGAGTTGCACATCAACTCTGGGGCTAATCAATCCACGCTTGTTTAACCTGCTTGTGAGGCTCGCAGCAACTGCACAGCTGTGATCAGTGATTTCAAATTAACACCTCATCGTCACAGAAACTGGATGATGTCTCGGGAGCACTAGGTCCTTGCCTAACAAGGATCTGGCATTTGCCTCTTTTTGGTATGGTTGATGCTCCCAAGAGCATCAGCAAGAACATTCTCGTACCACGGAGGTAGGCAAAAATGGTGGAAAGTGAACTGTTTTTCATTTTCAAGAAATATATACCCATCAGGGGCCTCCCTGGTGACGCAGGAGTTAAAGTCTCAGCACTATCAAGCTATTGCCAGCCACTGCAGCACAAGTTCAATCCCCAGCCAGGGTGCTGACCCACATGGCACAGCAGACCTCTCCTGTCTTGCCCACTGCTCCCCTCAGCAGTGTATTTCAGTCAATCCACGTGTTCTGCTCCCCACTCTATCTCTGGTGAATCCTCTCATCCCCCACCCCCACCCTGCACTCTGGCCTACACCCCAGTTCTTGTATGCATAAACAAATAAATAAAATAAATCTTTAAAAAAAAAAGAAATTCATACCCATTGGGAATCACACAACCATTTCTTTTTTAGGGGGGAGGTAGAACTTGTTTCTTTTTTTGCCTCAACTTCTAACATTGCATAAATTTGGTAAAGACAGTATTAGACAACCACTGTATTGAAATTAGCAAAAAAAACCCCAGAAAATTAATGCTCTTCGAGACTTGTGAATTACTGGCTGCCTCTTTTATATTTGCCAGAGCTGGGCAAAACTTTTGGTTTCAAGGGTGGGAGGGGTGATGGTGCTCACCTAAGGAGCTGCAAACTGATAGGCTGTTTCTACTATAGGGTGCAACCTAACTTTACACTCTCCCAGTAAGTTTTATCATTGTATTTTCTTCTTTTTTTTCCTTCTTTCTTATCATCATATAATTTTTTAAATTTTTATTTATGCATACAAGAACTGGGGTGTAGGCCAGAGATACGGGGTGGGGGAGTTGAGAGGATTCACCAGAGACAGAGTGGGGAGCATAACAGGTGGATCTACTGAAATACACTGCTGAGGGGAGCAGCAGGCAAGACAGGAGAGGTCTGCTACACCACGTGGGTCAGCTCCCTGGCCAGGGATCAAACTCATGCCTCAATGGTGACAGCTTGACACCCCTGCACCACCAGGGAGACCCTCTTATCACCATAATTTTCAGTCGGGAGCACTGCATCAGTGAAACCAAACTGGCAGTTATTTGATCTTTTATGGCAAAACTGCCTGTGGTCGGCTTGCTAGGTGCAAAAATGCTTGCAGAAAAGAACTTAGGTGAAACTACTTAGAACCAATGGAAAGGTGGGGGCCCCTACTTACTGTCAGGAAGGGGTTGCCCTCCAGGCTGAGCTCCTCCAGGTGTGGGAACTGGCACAAGGCAGTGACATCTCCCAGCTGGTTGTTGGCGCAGCGGAGGATGCGCAGGTGGGGCAGGCCCAGGTTGGTGGGCAGCGTCTCCAGCTGGTTGTTGGAGAGGTCCAGTTCCTGCAGCTGCGTCAGGCGGCTCAGGAGCTTGGGATCCAAGTGCTCTGAGAGCAGCTCCAGCCCTGACAGGCTGGAATGGGGTGCAAAAGGGGAGACTCAGCTGCCTGCCTCCTGAGCTGCTTCCGAAGACTCAGCCTCTCCCCAGCACCGCGCTCTTTAAAATCCCCTAACTACTTCAGAACTCAGGCCAGCTGGTCCCCTCCAGGGGCTTTTCCTGACGCTGCGGCGGGGAGCGCAGCTCTCTGCTCCCCAGGCCCTCTGGAATTTCCCCAACAGGTTACTTAATAATCCCCTTTCTGCAAGACAGTCTCCTTAGCAGCCAGGCCCTCTCCCAGGGAAAGGCCACTCCAGGGGCCCCCGCCCCGTTTCATAACAAACCGAGAAGGCGACAACGGGACCGGGGGAGGGGTCCCAGCCTTTCTTCCCGACCGCCCGGAGACCCAGGCCGGCGAGGCGGGCTGTGTGGCCCCGGCCCCAAGGGGTCGCCGGCTCTCCTGGCCGCCTCTTACTTACTCCAGGCTGCGAATCTTCCCCAGCCGGTCGCTCTTGGGTCGCCCCCGCTGCATCAACAACCGAGCCGAGAGGGGGCCCATGGCGAGGAGACGCAGTCCACGCAGGCTCGGTGGGCGGCACCAGCGCCCAGCCGAGCGGGAGCCTCGGGGTGGGTGAGAGGTGCGAGCCCAGGAGGTGGCGCCGCGCGAGCCGGTCCTCTGCGAGCACCGGAAGGAAGCGGCTGCGCGCACCTCGTGCAGCGCCCGCGAACTACAACTCCCAGCGGCCCCCGGGGCCCCGCGCCTGCGCTCTGGCCGCCTGGACGCAGCGATGACGGCTACAGCGGTGGCCTCCCCGGAGGGCCCCCGGGAATGTGGCTGCAGGGGCGTCCGGACCTGTCTGATTTGCGAGCGGCAGCGCGGGAGTGACCCGCCCTGGAGGCACGCCCCACAGGTAAAGGCTGGGAGAGGTGCCGCGCCCACAGCTGCATTCTTCATGCGGGGAAACTGAGGCTTAGATGGGCAGCGAGGCCGGACCCGGGTTGGACCGTGGCGGGGGCTCGCGCGCGCGGGGGCGGGAGGGTGTGGAGGTGAGGGCTGGGGGAGTGGGGTTGAAGTGGGGAGGGGCTGGGACCTGGGGGGAGTCTGACACAAGCTCTGCATCGCCTGGGGCCTCGCTGCTGGCGGGGAGACGGCACAGAAAGAGTAGAGGGTGCTGGAAACCAGGGCGAGGCACACAAAGGCCCTGGGTGGACATTAGCACGGAGGAAATTAACTCCAAGTAATGTAAAAGCACTCGGAGCCTTTGGACCGGGCCTGGGAGTATTTTAGTTGGCTGCAAGGGTGTCCCAGCGGGAGAACTGCTTGGGTAAAGGCCCGGGATGGGTGGATGGGCTTGGAAGGTGGCTGTGGCTTCGGGTGAGGGAGATGAAATCTGTGGGACCTCACCACAGGGGCCCTGTGTGTGGCTGAAGGGCAAGCTGGGTTTGTCCTGAGGGCCATGAAGAGCCCCTGAAGGGTTTTAAAGGATGTTACATGTGAATTTTAGAAAGATCCTGGGGGGGGCGGGTGTGGGCAGGGGGTGGAGGAAGAGGCAGAGGTAGATAGGAAGTCATAGAGGCTGGGAAGCCAGTGAAGAAGCCGCCACAGTGTCAGTGGTAACAGGTAGGAAGGTGCTGTGAAACAGTATGGAGATTCCTCAGAAAATTAAAACTAGAACTATCACGTATGGATAGGTATATATCTGGTTATGTACCCAAAAGAAGTGAAATAGGGGTCTGGAGCTTGTCATAGGGCAGGACCCGAGACTACCCCACCTTGGCTGGAGAGGGCTTCCCTCCGCCCCCACCTAGGTGCTGCTCACCCTCTGGACGGTCTGGGGCCTCACTTTAGGGGTGGCATATTTCTCAAACTCTGGTCTGGGCTAGATTTTTTCAGACTGATTCTCTTCCTAATCCTCACCACAGCCATACACTCAGCCAGCAGAGACGGCGCGGACTCCAAGGCTACCCTCCACTGGGCAGTGTCAGGCTAGTTTCTTGACTCTGCCGAGCCCTCCATTTGTGACATGGGGAATGAAAAAATGGCTATTTGACGCTTTCCTTTTACAGATGAGGAAGGTGAGAAGGGGGCCTTTCTCAGGAGGTCGCTCTAGACAGGGCTGTGCCTCCCTCTAGACACCTAAATGGCTTCAGGGGAAACCCCTCAAAGACAGCCGATGGGGGCTAGTCCAGAGGGGGCTTCCGAGGGGCACACACATGTGGTGTGAGGAAGGCCTCCAATAGATCCATGAAACCCATCTTCCTTTTGCAGGAAACCCACCGTTTCATTTACTTCTCTGAGACCGGCTGGGCAGTGGGGGCCGAGGAGTCTGACTTTGCAGGCTGGGCCTTTCCCTTCCCGGGGGTGACCCTGATTGAGGACTTTGTGACCCCAGAGGAAGAAGCCAACATGGTGCAGTTGATGGACCAGGAACCCTGGAAGCTCTCACAGTCTGGTCGGAGGAAGCAGGTACCTGGGCCCAGAGCTCTGGGGGAGCTGGCCAGTCAGAGAGCAGACGTGCTGCTGGGCCTCTCTTGACTCCTGGCCCTGTGCCCCTTTCCTCACCTCCCTTGCTGTGCCCTCTGCAGCCCGCCTGTGACCCCCAGAGTCATTAGGGGGCAAGCTTCTCCTGACATCAAGGCTCAGGCAGCTGGGATTGTCCTTGTCTCCAGTGTCTAGTTGTGCATGCTGGATGCAGAGGTAGAGGGGTGCGGGGCCAGCTCAGCTTCCTGACGGGACACCAGTGAGGTGGGGCTCAAAGGCACGCGTGGCTGCTCTAATTTCTATGCAGCTCTTCTCAGCTGGCCTAGTGCTGGTGACACTTGTGGCAATTTCTGGAAGGCTGCCAGACACCTTCCTGTTCCAAGTTCTCTCCGCATCAACTCCATGTGTCCTGACACTTGTGAGCTGGGCCTCCGAGTCCTGGCACTCCCCTTGGTTGGATTTTACAGCCCCTTCCTCTCTTGGTCCAGCTCACTCCTGTTCCTCATCACTGGGGCAGTCCCGGGCCCAGCTGCCCTGCACGCTGTCCTTCCTGCCACCTCACTTTACCCACCTTGGGAACCATGGCCACTTATCCCACACCCTCTCCTCACCATGTCACACTGTCACCGAAGCATAGCCCTGGAGTCCAGCCCCTCTCTCGGCCCCACCACTGACCCAGTCACATCTGCTGGGGGGTCTCTTTGAAAACACACACACAGAGACACAGATACACACACACACAGACACACACACACACACCCCCTGCTGCTCTCATTCCACGTACGTTCATCTGCCGCTCTCGTTACACACACTCTCTCTCTCTCTCATCTGCCACTCTTGTTCCAAACCTCTTGAGACCCTAAATTTAGCTTTGCCTCTTTTCCCACAGTGTTGCTACCTTAGCAAATTGCGTCTGACGCCTGCTTAAGCTAGAAACATGGAACTTTCCAGATTTCTCTAAGTCTCTCATTGGTAATTCCTGTCAGCTTTTTCTTCCTTCAAAACATATCCTGAATCTGAGAATATACTGCCACTGCCACCCCCTGGATCCCAGCCCCAGTTCTTTCTTGGGGTTCCTGCAGGAGCTTCTGGGGCAGCCCTCACTGCTCTTCTGTCAGTTTTCAATGAAGAGGAAAGTGACCCCTTTAATGCTTAGATCATATCACTGCTCTGCCACAAGCCCTCCCGGCCCTCCAGCTCAAACTAAATGCAGAGTCTTTACAACGCCCCGGAAGGCCTGGCCCTGGCCACCAGCCCAGCCTCTGTTGCCACTGCTGCTCCATGCATGTCCCCCACGCAGTCACACCAGCCCCCTCATGGCCCTTCAATGCTTAGCCTCGCTCCCCTCAGCTCCCACTCCCTTCTCAGGCTTTCGGTCAGCTGCTGCCTGGGGTGGCCGCAGGAGCCAGCGCTCTCAGGCGCTCTGAGCCCTTGTGACCTGAAGAGAAGACTGACCAGTGCACCCCTTTCCCGAACGGCAGGGGGAGATGCTCCCCACCTTCATTCTGAGGTGTATTCTAAAAGACTCCTCCCTGATTTTTTTGTTTTGTTTTGCTCTTTAGATAGAATCCACATACTGTAAAATTCACCTGTTTTAAGCATATACCTGAGTGGTTTGGCTTTTAGTATATTAGCAGCATTGTGGAGCCATCACCACTGTCCAGTTCTGGAACATTTTCATCACCCCAGAGGCAACCTGTACCCATTAGCAGTTGCTCCCCACTCCCCTATTTTCCCAGCAACCGCTAATGTACTCACTGCCTCTGGATTTGCCTGTTCTGGACACTTCCTGTAAATGGGATTAACAAGTGACCCTGCATCTGGCGTCTCTCACCTGGCATGTGGTCGAGGCCCATTTGCCTGTGGTATGTGTCGGCGCCTCACTGCTCCTCGTGGCTGATGCTGTCCTGGGACAGGGGTGCCTTTGTGTGTTCACTCGCTGGCACACCTCGAGCTGTTTCCACTTTGTGGCTGCCATGGAGAGCGCTACTGTGGACCTCTGTGGGCAGGTTTCTGTCCTCTTGGTCACGTAGCTGTGGGCAGAGCTGCTGGGTCACACTCCCTTATGGAACTGAACTCCAGTGGCCACTGAACTCCAGTGGCCCCCAGTGTTGACGAGCTCAGTAACGCTCCTTGGATTGACCTTCCTCCCTCGACGCTCGTTCTTCCCAGATCCCACCCTTGGCATCACGCACGTCCCAGAACACACGACCTGCACTTGGGTCTCCTGTCTCTAGCCCAGCTTTCTGGGGAACCTGGGCACAGACATCCCGTGACCACTATACCCCCATTCCTTTCCTCATTTTTCCCCTGAGCACACGCTGCCACCTGACATTTGCCGTAGACTTGTTCTTCCCTGGCGCTGCTGCCTGCTGCTGGGATGTCACATCCACCGAACCACTCGTTCCCGTGGTTGAATCTTCAGTCCCAGCCTGTCTTAGCTCTTTCTGTAAACTCAGTCTTCTCCTCTCCCTTTCGTCCCCATCCTTCAGGACTACGGCCCCAAAGTCAACTTCCGAAAACAGAAGCTCAAGACCGCCGGCTTCAGTGGCCTTCCCAGCTTCAGCCGGGAGCTGGTGCAGAGAATGAGCCTCTACCCTGTCCTCGAAGGCTTCCAGCCCGTGGAGCAGTGCAACCTGGACTACTGCCCCGAGCGGGGCTCGGCCATCGAGCCCCACCTGGATGACACCTGGCTGTGGGGAGAGCGGCTGGTGAGCCTCAACCTGCTGTCCCCCACCGTGCTGTCCATGTCCCGGGAGACTCCAGGCAGTCTGCTATTGGGCCTGGACCCGACTGGCTTCCCGGAGCCCTTGGTGGAAGGCGTGATGGCGCCCAGCAGGTCCGTGCTGTGCCAGGAGGTGGAGGTGGCCGTGGCCCTACCCCGCCGCTCCCTGCTGGTGCTCAGTGGGGCAGCGCGGCACCAGTGGAAGCACGCCATCCACCGCAGGGACATCGGGGCGCGCCGTGTGTGCACCACCTTCAGGGAGCTGTCGGCCGAGTTCTGTTCTGGTGGGCGGCAGCAAGAACTGGGGCAGGAGCTCCTGCAGCTCTCTCTCTCCTTTCAAGGGAGACCCGTGTGAACTTTTCCCTGGGGACAGTTGCTGGCGCTGGGCCTGGCCAGGGCCGCCAGCTCCAGCTGACCATTCACCAGGATTGACAGGGGAGCTCAGCACCAGAGCCTTTTCTCCCAGCCCAGGAGGCTTTACGAAAAAAGAGCCCGACGCCCTGACACCATGGCAGTGCCAGCCCTGCTGGGGAGACGGCGCTGATGGGAACACACCTCAGATCAGTCCCCTTCACCGGACCTTGGCCGCTTGTCTGGGTTGTCACAGTTGGAGGGAAGTGGGTCATTTGAGTTTAAAAATGTTGGTATTTAAAACCATCTTCTGCTTTATTCGTCACGCCTAATGAGGTTCCCCAGTACCCGACCTGTAGACTCGAGTGGCATGTAGCCTGGTGAAGAGAGCCGATAGAAGATTGGAAGTGACTCTTATTCCAGACTGCAGAGCTGGTGCCCTCAGGCTCACCTGGGACATGCCTGACTTCACGGGGTGGGGATGCAATGAGGACAGGAACAGCTCCTGCCACCTGGTGCCCCTCCCCGCATAGTGCTGTTGAAAAGGGAAAGAAGTCTCGACTCCCAGGCCTGCTCAAGGTAGTTTACTGTCTCGCGCTACACTGTGTGGGGTGCGCACCTGCTGCCAGGTGAGGCACAGGGAGATGGCAGCAGGCCCTAGGCCTGTGGGGCCAGCCCTTTCTCCTGCCAGAGCCAAACTTGGAAAACAGGGCCCCATCACAGCCCAGAAAGGTTCACAGTTGGCACTGGTCTTTACAGTCACCCAGAACCTTCTAAGCTGTTAGGTAGGGGAGACCTCTGGCTACTGTGCACGCTCCGCTGAGTTTTGTCTGGAGAACCCTGTGAAGACCCGTGTGGGGGTTGCTGGGGTTTCTAGTGGCTGAGTGAGCCCAGCTGCAGGGGTGGAGTGGAAGGTGAGCTCTTAGACCACCTTGACTGCCACTCCCTGGGCCAGCTCACCCAGAGCAGGAGGGTCTTTGTCCCGTGATGACTCCCACCTGGCCCTCAGCAGCCCTGCTGCAGGTCCCTCGCTCTGGGCATCCCAGCCAGCGCCCCAGTGGATCTTGCTGTGTTTGGGTAGTTGGGTGGGTGCATGGTCAGGGTCAGCTCGAGGCTGAAGGGGAACCTTAGAGCAGCCTGCCCCCTGCTGGAGCCTGTGAGAGCCTCTACCAACTGAGGGTGCCCCAGGAATGTACACTTGGGAATTGCTGCGCTCAGACCTGCGGGGGGGGGGGGGGGGGGGGGGGGCAGGGGAACTAGGGGGTGTGTGAGACCTGTTAGTCTGGGTCCCATTCCATAAAGAGGCTCCTCCCCCACATCATCCCGCCCTTGGCAGACATCTGACAGCTGGGCCTTCCTGTAGGCCCCAGCAGCACACTGGGGAAACCCTCCCTCTTGCTGGCCTGCATGGCCCACAGAGCACCCCTCCGGAAACTGTCATGTCACGTTGTGGTCATGCTGGTGACCCCAGCTTGGTTTGTCCTTAAAACAACGCACCCACCGCATTACCTGGCACCCCCTGCCCAGGCTGCCCACTGGGATGGAGCTGGGAGATGACCAGGCTGGGGCTGAGCCAGTCACTCCTGGGCCCCACGCTGCTGCCCTGGATGTTTCCAAAGGACAGCACCCAGCAGCCACAGCCCAAGGGGCCGCGACAGCTGCTTAACCCCATGTTAGCTGGTGGTTCCGTGTGCAGCTCGTTTTTCTTAAGCTCGCTGTTTCTAAGCACGTGTTGTGCAGGCTGTTTGGTCTGTTCTGCTGCTTTTGCAGGCATAGCATGAACCGCAGAATAAACCAACCTGAATCATCCACTTCCTGACCCCCTTCTTCCAGAGTCTGGGGCAGCTCTGCTGACTTCCCTCAGACTGCCCTGCTGAGAGGTGTGTTGAGACCTGGGGCATTTGTTTGGAGATGCTGGTCCTAATGGCGGAGGGGAGACCAGACTCAGCAGGGAGCACCCTCTGGGTTAGTCCTACCAAAACTCAAGACTCAAACTGACCCACAAGGTATTCCCAGAAACCTGTGGGCAGCAGGGCCAGGAAAGGATGCCCTGGGTTCTAAAAGCCAAGTGAGGAGTTTCTGGGCTCACTCCTATCCCACCTTACTCCACTGGGCCTCAACCCTCTGGAGGCATCTAAGCCACAGCCGCATCTCCTCTCGACGGGTCACCTGGGTGCCACGCGGGCCCACTGCAAAGATGTCCACAGGTGGGGAGGGGTGGCTGTTTTTTTCCTTTAAGGAAATTTCAGCCCCCCCAACCTGACTTGAAATGGGACTGGAGAGCATGGGCTTACTGGCCTAGGGTCCTGTCCTGAGCCCTGGCCTTCAGCCCCCCAAGGCCTGGGGAGTCCTGGGCTGCAAGGGCAGTCTGACCCCCTGGATTGGAAGAGATTTTTCTGTACAGTGGTGCCAGCCACGTGCTGACACCAGGGGCCTCTGATTGAAGTACTGGAAATTAAAAATAGTAATAAGGGATAAATAATAAAGGACAAATTTTCCTCAAAGAGGGCCTCTGCCTCAGTGGGCAGCCAGACAGGACTCTGCAGCTTCCTCGGCACTCCCAGGCCAAGGGAGGATTCTGCCAGGAGCCACAGGCATGCCGGGTGGGCAGCTCCTCTCTGGGAGGTGGGGTGTAGGGTAAATGATTGTCAGGCTTTCCTGCCTTCCCGCCATTGGCTTGTTGATGGATCCCTGCAGTCCTGAATGCATGCCTGATGGCGGACACCTGGAGTGGGGTGTGGGCATATGTAGGTGGGCTGAGACTGGGCAGCGTCACGGGGAACGGAACCACCATCAGAAAGAGAACAAGGGGAGCAGAACAAGCAGAAAGAGAAGCAGCAGGCAGAATGAGAACCAGCGAAGCAGCAGAGACCACGAGACGCTGGAGAGCCCAAGAGGAGTGAAGATTCGCCAGGGGCTGGGAGGCCTGCCAGCCTCCTGGCCCCCCTGCACCCCTGCCTGCCATGTACCTGGTAAAATCCCAATACAACCCTGAAGAAGCCACTGAGGGCTCCAGGACTCCTATAACCCATCTGCTCGGGTCATAGAGAACCTGCACTGTGCCCCACCTGTCCCTACATGGGGGGCCTTCAAGCCGACCCTGGGCCCTCAGCCACATGGGGGGGGGGGCTGCCTTTGCTCTGTTTCCTAAAAGGAAGAGCCCAGCTTGGGAAGGGAAGTAGCAGGCAGAGGCAGTCAGTTCTCACAGCATGTTCACGTTTGAGCACCCTAGCTGTGCATTCTAGAGCAGTCTCTCCCCTCACCTGGGAAGCCAGTTAGCTGTAGGAAAACCAGAGTGACTCCATCTTGTATGGATGCTATCTTAGGCCCATGACCAGTAACTGCCCTATCCTGGGAAGGCAGCCAGTTCCTGTTGTTCCTGTCACATGTATTAACCACTCATCCACACACAACTCCATCTAATAACAAAGATTCATGTGACACGTGCTCCAAACATCTAGCGTCATTAGTCTCACATAAGAATGATCACGTGGCGAAATAAGCAGAGTGTAAGACCCCTGGAGGTGGATGGATCGTGCCTCAACCCACAGTCCTGTCCACTTCCACTGGCATTGAATGCCCTTAATAAACTTCACTTGTGATTAATGAACCTGTCTGCCTCCTTCAGATTCAAATTACCTTAGTTTGGCAGCATTTACGAGTTCCCACAGCTGCACAATCAGCAAGCCAGCCAGAGGCCTGAGTTGTAGCACAGAATTGCAGGGCAGCGGTTGGGTGGGAGGGGTGCCCCAGCTGGGGCAAATCCCTGGTGGCCATTCATGTCTATGTGGGGTAAGGCAGCTGCCTTTACAGAGCAACATGGGCCTGCACAAGTACCCCCCAAACTCCTGCAGAACTGCTAGAAGTGGGCCTCCCCGGTGGCGCAGTGGTTGAGCGCTGGGTTGTGAAGCCGCCCCGCAGGCTCTGCAGCGCCGGTTCGATCTCCGGCTGCTCCCCAGCCACCAGAGGAGGGTCCCACATGGCGCGCAGACCTCTCCTGCCGCCCGCTGCTCCCCTCAGCAGTGTACTTGGGTCCTTCTGCCTGCTCTGCTCCCCGCTCTGGCTCTGGTGAATTCTCTCACCCTCCTGTGCTTCTGACTGTACCCAGTGCTTGAATAAATAAATAATTAAAAAAAAAAAAAAAAACTGCTAGAAGTGCTACAGGTAATGAGGAGGGAATGAGATGGAAAAAGGAAGTGGGTGAGCAGTCGCGCCACTGCCTGGCCCTGACTTGAGGAGCGGCAGAAGCAGCGGAGCCAGCGGAGCCAGAGCTCTGGACAACGCAGGATGTCTGGTGCCTCAAGGAGTCTGCATGTAGCTCGTTCAGGGAACACGGACTTGGAGAGTAAAAAGAGAAATCAGCAGAACTTTCAAAGGTGATGGCCTGTAAGTGCCTCCGTGCAGGGTCACCACAGACCAAGAGCCCAGATCACAGCAATTACTGCCAGGGGCCCAGGAAAGTGATAGGGCAGGTGACGAATATGTGGTGGGTGACAAATATGTGGTAGATGATGAAAGAGAAAAGTTTGTGCCCTGAGGGGCCGTTAATTCCAGAAAATCAAACATGAGCGACTAATTTGGTCACTGGGGTGAGATTAACTTGGCCCAATCGGGGCACATGGGCTGCTCTGGAGGCATTGCGAGGTGAAGCCACAAACGAGGAGTGACACAGGCTGCCGATGCTGAACATGATGCAGGGCCCCGTATGAGCTGCTCACTGCGGGGAGGAAGGACCACGCTGCCCTCTGCTGCGGGCCCGTGTGGCCCTTGAGTATGGGTGCTGAGTAGGCCACACGCTGAGCAGACCTGAACAGCACGAGTAGCTGGGTAGAACTAACAGGGCTGGACAAGAGGGAAACTGAAAGAAAGACAGACGGGCCTAAGCCTCCCTTTCCAAGCAGGCGGTACAGAAAGTCAAAGGGCCCGTCGGCGAGAGTGGGAAACAGCCATGGGGAGACCGAGTGCCTGCAGCAACTAGGAGTCTACTGCCTGACCACCAACGCTGCCCTCCCCATGTGGTAAAAGCTGCCACCACAGAAATGATTTTGTCCTCTCTCTCCCAAGCTGGAGACGGTGCATACCCCATAGTTCCCAAAGATCAGGGGTGGGGTGGGTACCCCTCCCCTCTCGAATAGCAAAAGACCTGTGCTGCCCACCAGAGCGGGCTCCAGGGTGACCCGAGGCTGCACGCTGAGCTCACTTCCTGTCCCACTCCGCCCAGGGGCAGTACTGCCTGTGGTCGCCCTGAGGCAAATGCATTTTAATTTATGGCATCAGAAGAGGCAGGGGGAAAATGCCCTGCACACACAGGCAGCACAGCAGTCCTGGAAAGGGAGGATGATGGGGCCCCTATGAGTTAGCAAGGCCCCTCCGTCATGACGTGCCACTGCCCCAGCACAGATGACCTCTGATGCAGCAGCTCTAGGGTGTGATCATGGTGTCCTGGGCTTGTTTGCGTTCGCACCCTGCCCACTGCCATGTCCCAGCCCAAGAACAACATGGCTCTCCTGAATATGGGGGAGATTTGTCCTGCACATCAGGACACTGGCAGGGACTGGCAACTGGGAGGCAGAAGGCATTTCAGGAGAAGTGACCTGCCGTCCAGGACGCAGCAGACACCAGGGAAGGCCCAGGGCTTCCCTCTCACCTCTGTTCAGGGTGTCCCACTGTTAGGGGGAAAGAATGTTCTGAGCTAATCCCATATAGGCTTTGTGGACCCCACCCCCACTCCAGACCAAAGCCATCAGGACATTGGGAAAGACAAATCCCGTCACCACCAAAGGGAAGGTGGCTGGGACCTGAGGGTGGGGTTAAGCAGCCAGGTTGGGTATAAAAAAACCAAACACGTGGGCCTTGGGTCTCTCTCGCTCGCCTCCTGGCTTCACGGCTCCTGGCTCGCGGCCAGCTCTCAGAGCACCATTTGGGATTCCAGATCGGCCGATCGGGTAGGACGCATTTAAAACTTTGTCTCCCACTTTTCTCCCTGAGCTGTACATTTCCTCATTTCCCCTTCCGTTGTAAATAAACCTTGTATTAACCTTTCGCGTGTGCCTGCAGTAGAGCACTGATAAGTCCTTTTAAGCGCGCGGGTGAGGACCCACAGTCAGGCACCCCGTTTCGTATTGGGGCTGCCCTATAACACCACCAGGAGCGGAGAGTAAGTCATAGCTTTACGTGTTTATTCAGGTCAATCCAGGGCAACGGTTTTAAAAATTCACACAGAGGGTGGGGTACGTACCCCATACACGATCTGGAGTGTCATGCATAATGAATTATCAGCATGAGACAGATGACAACTGCAGAGGAACCCCGAGCCCCAGGGCTTGTGCGTTGTCCTCAACAGCCCTTCCTAGAAGACACAATTACACTGCCTTCAGTTTCTTGAAACTTCTGGTCAGGTACTAACTGGAGGTTGCGTTCTGTTTTGGAAAGGGCCTCCGCATGTCTCATGAGCACCAGGAGGGCTCTGCTCGGGGAAAGTAGGGCAAGCCCACACGGCCGCGGCGCTCAGCGTGGGAGGTACTGCGCTTGGACACACCACAATCAGGTTAAATCTCCGGAAAGATTTCTACCCTGCACCCTGTCTGCCCTCCCCCAAGTGCCCTGCCGAGTTGTTCTGCAGCTCCAAAATGCAGCTTCTCCTCACCCTGACAAGATCTGGGGTCACCCTGCGGTTGCTTCCACCACCAGGCCCCATGTGCACGGTCATCTCTGTGTCCTGGACCTCTGGCAACCACCATATTGGCTGGGGGAGCCTCTGGATAAAGGGGAGCAAGACACTATAGAGCCTTTTTGTCCTATCCATGTGGGGCCTCCATAAGACACTTAAGTGTCTGCCCCATGCTGGCCGGCCAGCACCAAAGCCCCACCCACGGAGCAGGCTGGCACTGGCGGTGTGCTTCTGCAGCCTGGGGGTGGGGGTGCTTGGCACTGTGTGGATCTGGTCCAGGAAGGGAGGCAGCTGGACCCAGCACGGCCCTCTTGAATGGCTAGGGCCACAGTAAAGGGTCTGCTGCACAACCACCCCTCCCCCGCCCCAAGACTGTCATTCCTGCCAGGACACAAAGGGGTGTCTTGCAGTGACATTGACATTCTTTTGCAAAACAAACAGTAAACCAAAAGAGACTTTCCAAGGAGGCTGCAGGAAAGAACAGACATGCACCAGAGAGCAGGCGAGTCATGAGCCGGCGCAGAAGATGGCAGGGACGCCTCTGGGAAGTTCTCCCGTGGGCCCTCAGGACAAGATGGCCAGACTCCCCACAGATGGATTCTCAGCTCTGCCCACAGAGAGCCCCCAGCATTTCAGAGCAATGTGTTAAGGTTATGTTCCCGGCAGTACATCAGATCCCAGAAACCTCAGCCAGGTCTTGGCACAGGCCACCCGACCCCACAGGGATATCAAGCGTCAAGAACAATGCCGTCAGAAGGCGAAATCCAGTGATTATTTAGGAAAACAAAAAGGTGTCTCCTCCGGGCTGCTGTGGCTTTCACAAACAGCACAGGGTGCAGCCAGCTCACACTGGGCGGAGCGACAGCATGTGGGCGTAGGTCCACCAGACAACCTTAGTGGAAACCCCAGAAGCCACTCTGGCCAAGGCTGCATAAACACGAGCTGGGTTCCTGTGTGTGGCTGAGGGTTGGGGGCTGGGAGGGGAACGCCGTGGGGCTTTGTCTCCCCTGCACTGAGTCATTAAACGCAGGCCCACATTTGGCAGGGCTGGCCTCCAGCACCACTAGCCACAGACCAGGCCAAAGACCTTGTCTAGACAGAAGTCCCCCAGACTACCCCTTCCCGCCGCCTGGGACCACAGCTCCCGGCCTTCTAGAGGGCAGCTGACTCAGGCTCAGAGGCCATCATTCTGTGGCCAGAGGTGACTGCCTCTGGACTGAGAGTACTTTTCCCAAGCTGGCCTTGCAGGGTTGGTGTGGCCAGGGCTCCAGGCTGAGAAGAGAGCATCCAGGCCAGGGAGCTTCAGAGCACCTCTCTGTAAGTGTCCGAAGACATCTCACACCGGTGGCCACAGGCATGTCTCCCCACCCCTGGTCAGGCCTCCACCCTTGGGGTCTTCCCCAGAGCCTGGTGAGTCTGATGGGGGCTCCTGCCACACCTGCTGAGCTGACATGTGCCCCAGCTCTTGCCCCTTTACACACCAGGCCACCTAACTCCTTCCAGGGCAGAGGAGGGCAGCACCAGGCCAAGCTGTGATTCTGTGCCCACCTAAGCACGGCAGGTGCGTCCCCAGTCTTCTCTGAACTCATGGCCCTGCCCCACCAGGCTCCCTGCAGCCGCTGGAACCCATTTCAGCTCCCAAACCACCCTTGACCAATGGGTGCAGCTCAGAGCCCTGCCTCCCACTCAGGAAATCCCCAGGGCCGAGGACTCCATCTGTCTTTGCCTGAAGCTCTTAGCTACAGAGTCTCTGATTTGAAGATTTCCATTTTCAGAGGGAAAATGATCCAGGTTTTACAGCATCAAGACAGGAGTAAAACTCTGCTCTTGACCTATCTGGCAGTGTTTAGCAGCCTCATTAACACTTGCATTCTTGAAATTCCCCAAAAGGCAGGTGATTTCTGCTGGGCTCCAGGGCTCAGTGTCAGCGTGGCCCCCAGGAGCCGGTGTGGCCCTCACACAACCTGTAGGCTGCGCTCATGCCCATCCAGCTGCACCTTGAGCTTGTGCAGCTCCTCGATCTCACGGTTGTGCCGCTCGGTCTTATGGCGTACCAGGGAGCGGTAGAAGTGGATAGTGAAGACCACGAAGATAAGGCCGACGGGCACCATGATGATGGTGGACACGAGGGCGGCCTGCCAGCCAGTGTGGCCACCGGGGCCGGGTGGGAGGCCGGGCTGGTGACGCGCATCCACCGGGAGGAACTTGATCCAGCAGAGCAGCACCACCTCAGCCAGAAAGAGCAGGATGCCCAGCACAGTGGAGAAGCCCCAGGCCAGCTCGATGTAGGGGTGCATGCGCTCGTGCGGTGACTCGCTGATGGAGTTGAGGTTGTGGATGTTGCTCACGGCCTCCACGTTGGGCAGGATGCATGTGCTGATGAGCAGGGCGAAGAGGTGCACGGCCACGAGCACGGTGGTGCAGGCGCTGAAGGCGATGAGCAGCGGCCGCGGGTACTGGTACTGCGTCTCCAGCTGCACTTCCACCATGGCCACCTGAAAGGCAGAGCAGGCGCTGGGCCAGGCACCCAGGCTTCCGGCAGGTCGTGCCACATGCAGGCCCTCGCCAGCAGAGGGCACCCTCCCCGCTGTCCAAATAGTGTGAACTAACTTTCCAATTAGCGAAAGAAGATCTTGCTAAGGAATAACCTGAGAACTAAAGAAGAGACTAAAGCAACTCAGGGCAAGATGCGGCAGTGGTGGGGATCACCCTCCAGGCACCCGGCCAGACACGGGGCTTGGGGAGTGTCTGGGGCACTAAGCTGCAAGTTAGGGCAGAGGCCACACTTCCCTGGGAACATGCAGCTTGGCTGGTGGCTGTAGTGGGCTTCGTACAAAACTGCTGCTTTTCTAAAACAAGAAAAACTGACCATTTAGAAGGTTAAAAGTAAAAACAGGCTCCTGATGGTGCCCAGATTCCGGTGGGCCCTTGGTGGGCCTCACACAGACCACAGGGAGCATCTCTCAGGAAGACCCAAGGAGCCCAAGTTGCATCTCTAAAGTCAGGAATGCGGACCTCAGTGGTGAGCAGTGACCGAGGGGAAGCTGTGGGAAGGGGGCTGGCTGGGCACAGTGAACTGAATCACCAACTGCAGCCAGAGGATGTCAAAAGGTCACGTCTGCAGTGCATAAATCAAGACACAGCGTCTCCGAGTGTTATTTAGAAACGTGGAGACTGAAAGAGATACCAGCGGCTGGGGCAGGGGGAGCTGGAATTTGCTATAAGCCTTTGGATTTTAAGTACTCGAATTTTAAACTATGTGCATATATTAACTTTGATAAAATAAAAAGGATTTTTAAATGAAAGGGGATACAAAGGCCACAGAGGGAAGCAGAAGCCCCAGACTGTGTCTGGCACAGGGGCCTCTGCAGCCATCAGGTTGGACCCTGCTGCCACCGTTCTGCCAGGCTTTCCAACCTCGGACTCTACGCCCCTGCCAGGCTTCCTGCTGGCTCATTCTAAATGGCTCCCTCGGTGGCCCCGTGCCCCACCCTAGGACTGCAGACCACTTCAGGGGATGGTTTAGCCCGGGTCCAGCGAGGTCTCCAGGGTTCGACTTGGGCTGCCTCCCAGACACTCAAAGGTAAGAAATCAGACCAGTCAAGGGAGGCAGAGAGAGAAGCCAGAGAAAGCGCTTCACTCACTGTGTTTGCCCCTCCATCTGAGCCACCCCTGGTTGCTTCATTTCCTTTTTTTTTTTTTTAACATTTTAGAAGGACAGGTTCATTAGGAAAAGGAGAAAAAGAGAGGCACTGCATCATCACGGAGAGCTGCTGAGCCGTCCTTGTTTTTTGTTTTTAAAGATTTATTTATTTTAAAAGATTTATTTTATTTATTTATACAAGAACTCGGGTATAGGCCAGATGCACGGGAGGGTGAGAGGATTCACCAGAGACAGAGCGGGGAACAGAACAAGCAGAATGACAAAATACATTGCTGAGGGGAGCAGTGGGTGAGGCAGGAGAGGTCTGCCTTGCTATGTGGGATTCTCGCCCGCGGGCCGGGATTGAACCCACGCTGCAGAGGCTGCGAACAGCTTCACAGCACGGTGCTCAACCGCCTGTGCCACCAGGGGAGGCCCTACTTATTTATTTATATAAGCACTGGATACAGTCAGAAGCGCGGGAGGGTGAGAGAATTCACCATAATCAGAGCGGAGAGCAGAGCAGGCATCCTGACGAAGTACACTGCTGAGGGGAGCAGCAGGTGCAGCAGGAAAGGTCTGCGCGCCATGTGGGACCCTCACCCGGCGGCCGGGATTGAACCGGCGCTGCAGAGGCTGCGGGCAGCTTCGCAACCCAGCGCTCAACCACTGCACCACCAGGGAAGCCCCCGCCCTTGTTTTTTTAAAAAAATTTACAAGAAAGAAAATCTCACAATTCCTTCTAGCAACTGCCACATCTCAGAGTGAGAACCTCACCCCTTCAGTGCAGATGGAACATTTGGTGGGTAAAAAGAAGACGAGGTGCCCCAGCGGCCCACAAGCCCAGCAGTGACTACTGCTCCACACACGGATTGAAGGGCCATGTTTTCCTCTGGGCCCCTGTGGCCTGGCTAGGCTCGTTACACAGAGATGGCCCAACCCAAGGCTGCTGTACATGGCAGAGGGTTCTGGGACTGGAAACAAAGATGATTAAAGGGAAGAGAAGGAGGCTTACAAAGAAAGCAGTTTTATTCTATCTCAAGAGGAGAAAAGGCCATTTTTCAGTGTGTTTATGCAAAGGTTTCACGAGGGGGCCTTGGAGCACTGGTTCTTGGTGTTAGGGGAAGGATAAACATGGACAAGCTTATGATTAGGTCTAAGTGCTTGTTAGACAAAGAAAGAGCTTCGCCATCTAATTAGGGAATCCATAAAACAGGGGGGACTCCACCAGGCAAACTGCCTGTTTTCGTTTTATTTTTCTCCCATGTCCCTGCCCTAATTCAACTATGGTTTAAGCAGCTGAAATAGTTTCTGGCCACCTGTATTTGTCACATCTTTCTCCCAGGCTGCTCCACAGCCTGAACAATAATCTGATTTAATGGCGGTATCTGACTCTAATCAAATGGACCGCTGCTGCTGCTTTTCCCACCGGGGTCTGGGTGCCATGCTGTCCCCACTGCTTCCCAGCCTTCGCTGTTTTGGCTGAACCTCCAGTGTGTTAGGTGTGGCAGCCAACCTAAGAGGGACGTTCTAGAAGAGAAAGCAAGGGCACAGTGTGGTTTCTGAAATATATTCCAGAATGCTGAAGGAAGCACTTGCCGGAACAGAGGAGATACTCCATAAAGGTTAAAGAACTGTGACTGGAAAGGGAGGTGCCCCAGCAAAGCTGGGGCCAGAAGGCACTCCAGGGGGCCCCTGGGAATTCCTACCCCTGGCCCTTACAGGCCAGGTGCATTTCTCATGCTAAGACCAGTTCAATCCTTGAAGGCTGCCAGTTAGTCTCAAACACCCCATCCAGGATTCACTCTGTGTTTTACAACTTCATTCATAGGACTTGTTTTCAGATTTTAATAAGGGGTTTTAAAGCCTTCATCTTTTAGCATTTTGTTGGCTTAGCTTCCATGAGTTTGGAAATTCAAATGTTTCAAAAGCCAGGGACTAAAAAGACAGCTGCAGACAGATTCCAAGACCTGGGCCCCACACAGAAAGGAAACAGTTTTCCTGCATTAAGTCATGCGATACTTCCATGTTAATTTTCCAAAGTTAAAAAAAAAAGTATGGGCCAAAAAATTTTACTGCAATAGTATAATTCTGTGGAGTACAAGTTCTAGTTTTAATAGTGCTGTCTAAGCTTCTCACACATATTTCTTAAATTTAAGTTTGAGAAAACATTCTTTTTATTTTTTATTTAAATATTTTATTTTATATAATTCTTACACCTTTTTTCATCTTTGCACAATGTATGCATTTTCATTTTGGTTATATTCCCCATGCAATTGCACCCCCTCCTTATTCTGACACTAGTCCTTCCTTTCCCCGCCCCTCTCTCGCCCCCACCCTGTAGTGTGTCTCTGGTTTATAGTTGCTTGTTGATTTTGATTTTTACTTTGTATTGATTAGTCTTTTTCCTGGTCTCTTATTTAGGTTTTCTAAATTCCTGCTATGAGTGAGACCATCCGGTATTTTGAAAACATTGTTTTTAATGTGATGGAAACCGGGGCCTCCCTGGTGGCGCAGGCGGTTGAGCGCAGCACTATGGAGCTGTCCACAGCCTCTGTAGCGCGGACTCGTTCCCCGCAGGCCAGGGAGAAACCCACATGGCGCGCAGACCTCTCCTGTCTCGCCCGCTGCTCCCCTCAGCAGTGTATTTCAGTCCGTCTGCCTGTTCTGTTCCCCGCTCTGTCTCTGGTGAATCCTCTCACCCTCCCGTGCATCTGGCCCGTACCCCAGTTCTTGTATAAATAAAATAAATCTTTAAAAAAAATAAAAATGTGGATATTTAAAAAAAAAAAAAAGGTGATTATTTAAAAAAACATAATAATGTGATGGAAACCATGAGAAGAAAGTTACCATAACCTGAAGCTATGCACCTTGTGATCATACACACCAGTAATTATGTTAAATAAGACATACATAAGCCTTGGCTTTAAACTACAGATCTAAACCCGTATTTGTCAAGTCAGGTGACCTCTGTCCTGCCCTGGCTGAAGTCACGCCCTGACAACGTAATGTCTCATTCTTTCCAAGGGTGATCCACACTGCCGACCTGCTGGCTCTTGTCACAAGGGAGACCATAGAGGCCCTCCCTGGTGGTACAAGGGATTAAGTCTCAGCACTATGAAGCTATCCGCAGCCACTGCAGCATGAGTTCGATCTCTGGCCAGGAAGCTGACCATATGCAGGGAGCATCAACATTCCTAGCTGAGCTAAACTGTGAAAACCCCAATCAGTCCCACAGTTCCTGCTCAATCTGTGCAGATTCCCAAACACTTGGGAGATGCCCATGAAGGGGGCAATGTGGGCCCTTTCCTCAGCCAAGTCCTGTACTCTGAAGCTATTTTAATTACCTACTAATGTCCTTGCCATGCAGATACTTTATGTGAACACGAGTGGGGCTTTCTGAGGGCTCTGGGAAAGGAAGCTTGGGGTCGGCCCTGGACTCCCCAACAAACATCCCCCAACTGACAGAGCAGTCCCCTAGGAGGAGCTAGAGGGCAGACTTCCTAGTGGTCCATCTTGGCTGCCAGCAGGGTCCAGAGGGAGTGCTTTGCTCCCTGAAGCATCACTGGATCTGGGTTAGCTCATTTTGCAGGCTGCCTTCCCTACTGTGTGTTTGACTCACCATGGCGAAGCCTGAGAGGAGGGCAGAGGTCCTGCTGGAGGCCTTCAGCTTGGCCCTGCTCAGGTAGAGCTTCCTCCAGGAGAGGGCCTGCACAGAGTGGTGGTTGGAGGTGACCAGTTCCAGGTAGCTGCGGCGGACCCAGTCCCGGTAATCCATGCCCTTGTGAGCAGGCTCAGAGCAGGCGGGAGTGGAGGGGTCCATAGGCACGTTGAGCTCGGCGCTCATGGTGGGAGCCAGGCTGGGGGCGGGAGACAGACACTCAGGCATCCCAGAGGGTTTCCAGGGCCTGGAAAAGCCAGGATCCAAGGCCCCTTAACCTTGTGATCATACACACCAGCATAACCACAGACCACCGGGGTCTGCTAGGTACAAACACCCTGCACCAGAACCATGGGATCCAGAGGTCGCGTGCACGTGAGGCCCTGGTCCCTGACGTCCCAACATCAAAATGTGGGGACCACCTGCAGGAGGTGGTCTTTCACACGTTTCCAGGCATCACCACAGGGTCCAAAGCTGATCCTCTGCAAAGCTGGAATTCGGCCTCCATCAGAGAGCAGGGAGCTATGGTGCTTAGAAAGGTCCAAGGACCTAAAGGTACCAACCGGATTGTAACCCTACTGTGTGATCCTGAGCATGACCTCGCTTTTACTGTCCTTACTCATCTTCAATGGGGACATTCCCAGCCCAAAGGACCTTGAACAAGGTAACGCACCAGAAGACACAACACTGCTTTTCAATGTCCAGGTGCCACCATGGAATAATCACCTCCAAGCAGTCTCTAGTTTCTCAAATTCAACTTAAATTTTAACCAGCACACTTCACCCGAAAAAATACTTGGTTTATGTAAGTAAATTAAAGCCACATCCAGGCTGCAGCAGAAGCCTTTAGCAAAATGTAAAGCGAAATCTACCAGCTGACGTGAGCATGTTTGACAGAAAAAGGAGACACCTGGAATCATCCCAGGTAGCCATCTGGTCTGACAATAATAGAATGAAGATCAGAAGGACAGATCTGTTGAGATTTGTGACTTTAACCCCAAATCTCCACTAATCCAAATAGGGGATTGGCAGCCTCACATAACCCCAGGGGCCTGCCTGGCGGAAGCGCACCGGGGTCAGTGAGCTCTAATCAATCTGCAGGGCAGGTTTCAAGGGCACAGGCACCTCGCAGCTTCCTTGGCACCAGATATTAACTTGTACACTCAGGCCCACAAAGCCCCATGAAAAGCCTACTTAAGGTTATTACAACAGATCAGCGTTTCTAGGTCCCAGGGTGTGTGGCTGGGGGAGGGTTAGTGGAGGGTGGGTATTTACCAGGGTCAGCAGCTGAGGAAATGCCCCAGATTTAATCCATCCATGCCAGTCTCTCAAAGGGTTCAGTGCGTAGGTTCTGAGGAAGAGGTCCTCTGTGTTTTCTGCCAGGCTGTGGAGGAACAGCCTTTCCTGGCCAAAGGATCCCAGGGAACAGTTTTGTGCATTTGATTTCTGCCAGGGCATGCCAATGACTAGGTCATTTATAGGAATGGCAAGTTGGGAGTCATGGTCACTGTCCCAGTGCCCACCTCTGCAGCCAACAGCACTGCCTTCCAGCACTTCAGTCACTGGAACTCAGAGCTGTTGCTCACTAACCAATCCATTGGTTAGCTCCAAATAATTTAGTGTCACCACCTGGAAATGCACTTTCTCTTTTCTCCCCTTAACAGAAGCAAGCTTGCATACAGAAACAGTGGGCAGCCGTGGAGGGGATGAAAGGCACAGCCTCTGCCCCCTCTCAATGCGCCCTCTCCATCCTGCGGCCAGTCGGTGCTTTGTGGGCCCTGGTAAGGTGCATTTGGTACTCAGGAATCAGAGACGAAAGAGGTGAGGGGCAACTGCCCATGGGGACATGAAATCAGGGGGTGACTCGGATCCAATGAGCTAAATGCTGTTTTAGTGAAGGCAGTGTGGGGCTGAGGGAGCAGAGGAGGGCTCCGTCTTGGGCAGGGAGCAGGCACCTTCCAGAGAGCAAGGGTAGGGGGCAAGGACATAGGTATGAAGGGAGCATTGACATGGGAGGGTCCCTAAGAGGCCGTAGGCAGCAAGGCTGGCTGCTGAGGGGGTCAGAGAAATGTGGGTGGAAGCCATCCTGCATTCAACAGATGCTTACCGGCCCCCAGGTGGCCTGCATTTGGTATCTAAGCATTAAACGGATGCCTTAAAACACCATGTGAGTGGTGGAGTCTGGGGCAGCCCAGGCAGTAGGGCTGCCTGGACTATCTCTGGTGGCGCCTGGCAGCAGGAAGGAGTTAGCTGGTGAGGGGCACAATCTGGGGTCAGTCTGGTCTGGGTGCCTAGTGAAATGGCTGGCTGACTGGAAGGAGGAGGGGAGCCCGATGGCCTTGGACAGGAGGCATGTCTGGGGGAAGAAAAGGGAAGTCGCCGGGCCACTATGAGAGTAGCAGGGCCTGGGCTTCAGCTTGAGAGCTGAGTGGAAGGGCTGCTGCCAGTGGTCCGCGGGGAGTGGCTGGGGAGTCTCTGCCCTGCACATGTGCTCAGAGTGGCCGCAGAGAGAGGGAAGGGCTGCCTGTCTGCTAGGAGCCTGGGTCCGGAGGCAGACCTGTGGGTCCTGAAGACACAGAAGCCACTTCCTACAGCGTGAGCAACCCCAACTGGATTAAAATCCTACCTCATGCTCCTAGTCCTGGAATCCTACCTAAGGCCAGGTCGCCTCTCTCTGCCCAGGAAGGGTGGGAGTCTGGTCCTCACCCTCGAAGCTGGAGCCCAGCGGCGGGGAGGGGGCAAGATGGAGCCTGCCAGCTCTGTCAGTGGCAGAGGCTCCAAAGGACACTCTCCGGGCTGAACCGTGTGGGGTTTTGTTTTTATATGAGGGGCGACAGAGAAAAGAGGTCTCGTAGAATAATGGTAACCCACTCTCTAAGATTAGCTACTCGCCCAGGCAGGCCAGTCTGAAACACTTGCAGGGAGCAGATTTTGGGGTTTGCCTCCTTTAAACATCTGGGGCATGAGCAATGGTGAGCGCCACGCAGAAAAGACTTTCTGTCACACCCTCGCAGGGCGGGTCTCAGCAGCCTCCACAGGGGTCTCCCACCGGGGCCACCTGCACTTCAGTCCCTCCCCCTAGGGAAGCCCCAGCGCCCCGTCCGCCGGTGCCGCACCCCGACCCGGAATCCCGCGGGGTTGTGGTCACCTGGCCGCCCGGCAACTCTGCCACCACTCCATCCCAAGCCTGCCCAGGAAAAAGCCTACCCCTTCCCAGGCTGAACCTCGCCGGTATCCCCCCTGGCCCCACCCGACCGGAGCCCCCAGCGCCAGCCCCCGCGGCCGCGCACTCACCTAGCTGCCCTGCCCGCCTGGCCCGACTCCAACTCGGGCTCGCGGCAGGCGGCACCGGCGTGGCCGTGTGGCCCGGTGGCCCCGAGGCCCTCTGGCCCGGCCGGGGTGCGGAGCACCGCCCCCTCCCTCCTTCCGCGGGTCCGGCGGGGTCCCCGCCCCCCCCCCCGGCCCCGCCTCCACCCGCTGCCCCGCCCCCGCTCCCCCGCCGCAGCCGCTGTCAAGGCAACCGTGGGCCGCCGTCACGTGACCACCAGTGGGGGCGCTGCGGGCCACGTGACCTGGCAGGCGGGGCCTGGGGACGTGGGGGTTCCTAGGGTGAGCCCCGGAGGCGCCCGGGGCCGGCCATTGGCCACGTGGAGCGGGGTGGGGGAGAGGAAACAGGTATCCCGTTATCAGACGCGGGGCGGGGCGGGCGCGCCAGGTACACGCGAGGGCGGGGGAAGGGCGGCCCTGTTTGCAAATGGTGCAGGGAAGGGTGCAGCGGCCACGCCCGAGCTGCCCGGGGATCAGCGCCCGGATCGTGCCCCCCACGAAGGCCCTCCCCCTCTCCCTCCCCCTCGACGCCGGGACCCACAGGTCCTACCCTGACTGCAGCGCGCAGTTCTCGGGCGCAGCACCTGGGGATGGAAGTGCTTCTGTGGTGCTCTGTGCCCCCGCCACTCACTCCCGCGGGGACCCTCTGCCCGACCATGGTGAGCTCCGATTTTACAACCGAGATGCTCAAACAGGAGCACAGGAGCGTTCTTTTCAGGAGTGCACATGAATACTGTACTGAGAGGCGGGATGGGATCATACCAACCCGCGGTGCCAGACGGCCCCTCCGAGTCCTTCCTGCGTGCCCTACATAGGATTTTTCCATCTGTCGCAACAGCATTGGACCGTGACACATTTATCCAAACCAAGGAAAAATTCCACTCGTGTTAACCAGTCCAAGTTTTCTGATAGTTGGAAGAGATGTCACAGATACCACGTCAAATCCATTTGTACTTGCAAATTTTTAGAGGCCACTGCCGAGAGCCAGAGTAATAATAACACCTTTTCATTCCGGAGGACACTTGAGAGCAGAGCAAGTCAGTTTGCTCCCCTCCTGGTTTTTGCTCTAACAAAGGGCACAGGAAAATTCTGGGGTCTGGCTACCCCTCCTCCCTTCTTGTCCCTGATTCCCCCAACTCTAGAGTCTACAGGAAAGGCATCATTTGAATATCAGGGGGCAAGGTTCTCAAGCCATCACACACGGCGTTCAAACCTCAAGCTCATCCTCAAATGAACTAGAAACAGGAAGAAGGCACTTTGTAAACTACAGCAGTTGCATCACAGATGAAAATTCTTTCAGCAAGGGAGTCATTTGCTTGCCGTCTGCCTGCATGTCCCAGTTAACCATGCCTCCGCCCCCAAGCACATTTATGCGGCATGCCTAGACAGAAGCAAGATGTAAGTCATAATTGCCAGCGCTTTTCAGAGCCAGTTCCTTAACCCAACAGAGAAAGGGGTTTTTCCCCTAGCGGGCTGAGGCAGGTGATGGCACCACGTCAAAAGGAGGTTTGGCCACCACAGTGCTAGCAGTCTGGGCCTGTCGGTGCTCAGGTAGCTGAGTGGGGGTCACACAGCGGAAGGAGGGTCATGTGTACAGGTACCAGCCACCGGCTAGGATGTCCAGCCTACCTTTTGGGCTGTCTCCTGGCTGACCATGGCAAGTGGCTTCCTCTCCCCAGGCTCCTGTACCTGACAAAGACCAACTGAGGCTGATCCCAGGCAGGGGCCAGCCTCTTCCTCATCAACACCTGCCCCTCATTCCAGAAAGACTCAATCCCTGCTCCTCTGCCCAGGCCTTATGGTCCCAGGTGTGGGCAATGCAAGCAGGCCCCTACAGGAGTTAGCTCTGCCCCCTTGGCTATTCCCTCACAGGGCCTAGCCCTCCACATCACCACAACAGCTCCTCTGGAGATTTTCATTTTGAGTATTCCACCCTTTGACCCTCACTCATTTCTCAGCCCACTGCCTCTTCCCTGACCCTGCTGACAGCCAACTTCCTTTCCCTCCCAGGCTGCTCCCCTCGTAAGCCCCACCCAGTCCAACCTCTCCTGCACTTCCTGCCACCACTTTTCACCACTTCACACCACACCTAAGAGAGCTGTCATCACTTTTGCCATTTCCTCTCAGCCCTCTGAGGCCAGCACCATTGTGTTGCTGAATCCAGGCGCTATCTCAGCCATTGCCCTGTCACAGGGTAGCCTGTCCTCCTCCTGCCACCTGGAAACTCTCCTTCCATGCTCTGGTGACGACTCCTGACATTTCCTCTGTGTGAACTTTTCTCTGCAGCCTGCCCCCTGGATGTGGGCCTCTGGGGGTTCTTTCTGGTTCCCCACTCTACACTTGTCTGGTCTTATCCACACCTTGTTTCAAGGTGCCTGACGACTCCCACATCATCAGCTTCAGCTCTCTCTTCCTAGCTTGGCAGGGTGGGCCCCCTAATTTCCTCATGCCCACAGAGGAACTTGTCATCTTCCTCTCACATACCCGCTCCACCTCTGCCTCAGAGTTCCACCACACACAAGCTGAGGGTGCAGATCTGGTATCATTCCTACTCCTCCCTTCCTTATGAAGTCCTGTGAATTCTCCCGCCTAACTGCTGGTGGAATCTCCCCCTTCTTCAGGGCCCCATGGGTCTCCACACTAATTAGGTCATCATCATCTCTGCTCCGGTCTGCATTACTACAACAGCCTTCCACCTGCCCTCTCCGGACTGCAGTGAAAAATCCCTGTGTTTCCCTCCCCCACCCCGACTCCTTCAGGGTCCCTGTGGCCCAGGACCAGCTCCAGTCCCCTTAAAGTGATTTAGAGGCTGAGCCAGTCAAAGGCTCCTCCTCAGCTTGCTTTCCCAGCACTCCCACATCACCAAGCTCCCCATGAGCTCCACTCAGCCCTCCCCTCGGCCCAGAGCTGCTCTCTGCCCACAGGGACCCTGTGCTGCTCCACTTTGCCAGCACTGACCTTCTTGCTGGTGTCCCTGACCAGGTCTGGAGCTCCTTGACGGCAAGGACTGTCTTGTTCGCCTTCATCCCCATCGTTAGAAAGATTGCATCGAGGAATCCTTTAAATTTAGTACTTAGTTCCACTCTACAAACACTTGTTACAGTCTATGGAATAAGGAAATGGAAAATTGCCTTACTGCAGATTAAATTCTAAGGGTGTTCTTACTTAAATATGTTAATATATGGTAATTGCAGCTCACTTTAGTCAAGTATGGCACAGGGTAAACGTAAATTAACTTCTGAAAGAGAACACGCCTGTTTCTTATGACGATGGTGGCGCCTGCACACAGCTCTCCTTTCCTGCAGCCCAGAAATCAGATTTAGCCACATTCCTATTTCCCAAAGTCAACAAATGTCTTTCCTCTAACTCGATTCCCCCCTGCAAGAGATAAAATGTTGGAGACAGAAATATAAAGGACTACTTAATATGCTCCAAACCAGTGTTTCCCAAGTTAATGGGGTGGGAGGTGGGGGCAGAATCTCCTGTGGTGACTGTTTAAAGTGTCTGTCTGGGGCCTGAACCAGATAGAGCCCGCACCCTGGGGTGTGGCCCAGTATGGAGGGGGGATTTGAGCAGGCTTCTCCTCGTTTGTGCACAGCGCACTTACCTGTGTCTACTGCTGGGTTTCCGCCTGTAGGGTAAAGAAAATGTCAGGCTTTTCTGCCCTCCCGCCATCAGGATAGATGATGGATCCTTGAGGTCCTGAATGCATGCCTGATGGCGGGCACCTGGAGTAGGGTGTGGGCATAGGTAGATGGGATTCACCTGGGCTTTTAAGGGTGGCGTCACGGGGACACCAGTAGAAGCCAAGAAGAAGCCAAAAGAGAAGCCGAGAGAGAAGCAAGAGAAGCAGCCGAGAGAAGGCTGGAGAGCCCATAGAGTGAAGACCTGCCAGCCTCCCAGCCCCCCTGCCTGCCATATGCCTGGTGAACCCCAATAAAAGACCTGCAAAAAACCACTGAGGACTCTGACTCCTCCTTTACCCGGTCTGCATGGGATCAGAAAACCTGTACTGTGTCCATTCCTGCCCTTACACCGCCGCAGTAGTTTTCAGATGTGAATAGCTTGCCTGTGTAGTTTTAGTTGCTGGGATTTGCTCAGACAGCATATTTATTGAGCACCTACTGTATCCCAAGCACTGTGCTGGCGCTGGGGGTACAGCAGAGAGCAGGACAAGCAGGTCTTTGTGCTCAGAGGTCACGGCTGAGTTTGGGTGTGTAGGGGAGGTACAAAAAGTAAACACATGATAGGTGCTATGGAAGAAAATAAAACAGAGCAGAGGTGGTGGGTAGAAAGCTGAGACCCAACGGAAGAGGCAGAGGAAGTGCAGAGTTCCTGAGGCAGGAAGAGCTTCCAGAGAAGAGGCTGGGGGCAGGGGGTGGGGGGGGAGATGGGGGACATGAGTGAGGGGGCATGGCACTAGAGTAGAGGGGAGGAGGGGGCTGGGCTGCAGGGCTGCGCAGCTCCTATTTTAAGTATAGAGGACTTCACATACAGATATGACAAGGTCTTGTCTCTGCTTTTAAAAAGATCACTCGCTGCTGTGGGCAAACAGACTGTGGCAAGATTGGCACCACTAGTGGAGGCAGCATGAGATCCGCCCACTGGTGTGGATGGGGGTCAACAGGGCAGAGATGGTGAGCGACAGTTCCAGCACGTATTCATGGGTGGATGTGGAAAGGAGAAAGAACCAAGGATTGACAGGAACCTGACTCCTAGTTTGGGGCAATTGTGTGGTTAGTGGTGAAATTCACCAAGGTAGGATAGAGGGCATAAAAAGGCTTAGGGGCTAAAAATCAAGGTTTTCATAACCTCAACATATGTCAGGAGGAAAGTGAAAGGAGGCGGGTGGACAGGAGTTTGAAGTTCCAGAGGGAAGCCCAAGTCACAATCAGAAGAGGATGGTACTGTCATGGCTAGATGACATCTCCCAGGGTCTGAGTGTTGACAGACGACACAAGACAGAGCTCTGGGTCACCCCATCATTTAGAATCTGAGCATGAAGCGAGGCCAAAGCAGGAATGCTAAGGGAAATGGATGCAACACCACCAAGGGGCTGGATGTGGCAAGACTGGAAGATTTCAGTGCAATGATGGGGGTGAAAATTTGGAGAGGGATGAGAAGTGAAGAGGTGGCAGCAAACAGGGCTCTTGGGGGGAGTGTGGCTGAGGTAAACGTTGGAGTTGCAGAATATGGGAACAAGGACTTCTGCTTTGTTGTTTCACAATGAGCCACCAGAGAGGTCTGTTTGCTGATGGGAGGAGTCTGCACAGCAGGAAGGGGGCATTCTGCACTGGCCAGGAGGGAAAGCAGGCTACCATGACAAGGTGGGGAACGAGGGGTCGGTGGGCTCTGCTTTCTCCATGCTCTGAGGCAGTCCCAAGTAGGGTGGGGGTCAGTGGGGCTGAGGTGAGGACAATAAAGGTGCATTTTAGGAAGTGGGGGCGTGCTCCTATGTGACACCTGTGGTCCCACATAGGACAAAGTGAGACCCTCAGTCCAGCTACCAGATTCTCCGGGTGAGAGAAGTGCTGCTGGCACCAGGGAACAAGCAATAAAGGACAGCTCCTCGCTGTAGGGAACACTTACCTCTGTGGTCCCAGACCTGCCTATGCAGGTTCACTTGCTCTCTGTCCCCATACAGCCGATTCTCACTACTCCCAGGAGCGGTGGTCTCCAAGTCACTGCAAAAAGCTGAGTGAGTGGGCCTCCCCGGTGGTGCAGCGGTTGAGCGCTGGGTTGCGAAGCAGCCCGCGGCCTCTGCAGCGCCGGTTCGATCCCCGGCTGCTCCGGCCACCGGAGGAGGGTCCCACATGGCGCGCAGACCTCTCCTGCCGCCCGCTGCTCCCCTCAGCAGTGTACTTCGGTCCTTCTGCCTGCTCTGCTCCCCACTCTGGCTCTGGTGAATTCTCTCGCCCTCCCACTCTTCTAACTGTACCCAGTGCTTGTATAAATAAATAAAGAAAAATTAAAAAAAAAAAAAAAAAAAAAAAAAGCTGAGTGAGTGACTGACTATGGGACCGTGGCTGCTGGGGGGAGTACTTGGTTAGGTTTCTGTGAGTCTTTGGCCACAACATCAACAGATCAAATTATAACCTTGTCTTATGTGTGTTTTTGTTTAAAGACATTTTTGTAAAAATACACACACACTCTCACTAATATTGAACTGAACAGTCAACAGCACTATAACTCACGCCTGAATGAAGCTTATCTAAGGCACATCCCTGCTTTTTGTGGCTGAGAACACTACCTAATACTTCAGCACTACATTTGAGGGCCATTTTAAACAGCAAAATCACAACAAAAAGCACACAAATGCAAAAAAACTTCCATTAAACAGACAACTTTGATCTGAAAGGAGGCTTCATTTGCCCTTGGCTGGGAATGAGTCCATCAGATAACTCAAGTTTTTACCACTTTGCACACGTTTGCCAATGACTGTAAATGCATTGTAAGTGTTGACCTGGAAGTCACAAATAAATTTTAGTGACTAGTTGAATTCACACAGAAACTGCAGATAGTGAGGCTCAACTATATTGAAAATGATCACATATTGTGGCGTACTATTATGCTAAGTGCATACACACACCAGTGCCCCAAGGAGCATGCGAGGCGGGGGGCCTTCAGCCACAGTCCCAGCACCGAAACAGCAGTACCTGGGCTCCCCTCCCTGCCAGGTTGGGTCTGCGCACAGCTTCTTCCCAGAGCTGCACAGCACTATGGTACAGGAGCTAGGATTAGGTTCTGGGGTCCCAGAGTTTAAGTGGCAGCTCCATTACTTTCTCAGTGACCTGGACAAGTTCCCAGACTTCTCTGAATTTCAAAATCTTGTTTGGTAAATTCATATGGGTAATCTAATTGGAGGGCAAAAATGTATTCTAATACAAATAACTAGGCCTGGCACAGGGATGTCACATGAAGTGCACTAGAATTGCACAGTAAGTGAGCAAGTGAATGAAGGCCTAATTGGTAAGTCAGAACTCTTACACGGAGGTTTCCTGAGACAACCGAGTTATATACACCTCGGTTGTTCAATTCCAGATTCCGCCCCACCCATGAGTCAATCAACAAAAGCATTATCTACTGATGTTCCCTAATCATGATTTTTTTGAGGGGATGTCTTCTGGTATCACCAACTCCCTTCCCACTGATGACATCTAGCTGTTTCCTATCCCCAAACAAAACCCTTAAGACAAATTGAGTTACATGAAGATTTTGATGAGGCCTTAAAAATTGCCAGAAACTGCCTAAACATCATCTTCTGAAGTCCAGTGAAGCTACAATCTGTAAATGTCTGGCCTGGCACCCTGTTCTTTGTCATTAGGTCTCCCGCCAGCCGTGCAATACGCATCTGCTCCTCAGTCTCACTCAGCTCCTGGTCGGGTGAATGGGGCAGAGCAGGAAATGACTTGCCCAGAGCTCCTTGGCTTATCTGAGGAGGGTTAGGACTTGAACCCAGGTCCTTGGGGTCCCAGCTCTGCCACCCTCAACAGCTTCCAATGAGAAAGAACATCCATGAGATCAAGGCTGCAGGTTCGTTAAGAGCTGTAACATACCCTTTCCAGGGAGTTAAGAAAACCAACAGCTGAAAAACAGAACAAAACAAAACACAAAACTAACCAGCCAGTCTCTGACAAAAGAGAAACATGGGTTTCAAAATGTCCCGTCAGGGTGTGTGCTAATTTATTAGGGGTGACTTTCCATTTCAGTTTCCTGGGAAAGAAAAATTCCTGTGATTTGAACTGCTGAAAGGACAGAAGTCGTCACAGATGGTGCTTGGTTCAGGGCGGGGCCAGGGAAATCACTATGAAAGTGAAAGAGGGCCTCCCTGGTGGTGAAGGTGGTTGAGCACCATGCTGTGAAGGTGTCTGCAGCCTCTGCAGCGCGGGTTGGATCATGGCCGGCCAGTGAGATGCCCACATGGCACAGCAGACCTCGCCTGTCTCACCCGCTGCTCCCCTCAGCAGTGTATTTTGTCAGTCTGCCTGTTCTGTTCCCCACTCTGGCTCCGGTAAATCCTCTCACCCTCCCACGCATCTGGCCTGTACCCTGGTTCTTGTATAAATAAATCAATCTTAAAAAAAAAAAAAGTGAAAGAAAGGTCCAGGTTTCTTGGTTTTCCTTCATTCTCAAGTACTATTTCCTAAATCCTATCAAATTCCACTAAAGGCACAAAACATACTTAGAAACCTGGGAGTTGGAGATAAAAAAAAATCCAAAGCAGGCAATGGCTCTAATTAGAAACCACTGCCCTGAATCACTACCCACTTTCTATTTAGATCCCCTTTGACCTCAGGATGAAACAGCCTTTGGTAGGCCCATCCCCATCCCCTCCCTCTAAGTCTGGCCATGACTCCACGCCCTCTGCTCTGGCCCAGTCCTGCTCATCCTTCTAATCTTCAAATGTTCTCCCAAGAGCTCTTTTTACCAGTTCCCTTCCATGGCTCAGTGCACAGGGTGAAACCACGTCTCCCTCTGCTCAGGCCCGATACACTCAATACACACAAGTGTGGTGGGTGCTGCTGGGCCAGAACATGTATCTTGGGGCACAATCTGCACACTCTGCTGAGGACATGGAGATCAGGTGCCCTGCAGTGCCAGACGGTCCCAGAGCCCAGGCCACTTCCTTCAATGAGTCTGGGAAGAGGCCCATGTAAAAGGAAGCCCTGAGGCCCTGTCCCCATCAATTCATTCCACAGCCTTCCCTACAGCTTTTGTAATCAGCATTTCACCGGTCTAAAGAAAACCTTGTGTTTCTGCTCTTTACTAAATAAACAATCCTTTTACAGAAACCAGCCCCAAACGCATCATGTCCAAATCTGTGAGAACAGGCACCAGTGCCAGCAGGTTTCATATTTTCCCTCTTTCGGCAGGAACATTAGCAAACTGCTTGGCAGGAGCACTGAGTATGCAGGAGACGGTCCTCTCTGTCCCTCAGGCTCCGCATCCTGCAGCCAGGTGGGGCTGAGCAGCCCGGGTGTGCTCCCGCTGCTCACTGTCCCAGAGGCTGTGGCAAGACAGCTGTGCTGAAATCGAGCCCTCTTTCCCTCTGAGCTGTGTGCAGGGATGGCTGAGGCCCTAGTCACAGAATGGGCCTGGCTCCAGACGGCTCCCATGGCAAACATCATCGCCCCATGATGAAGCTGGGCTCCTCCTCCTCTTCCTCTGATCCAGATGCCCCCTCAGAGCTGCTGGACGGCTGCTCCTGGGACTGACTGGATCCTGTAACCACAGGACGTTTGGGTTAGAGACACACAAATTCAAGCAGAGAATCAAGGGAAGAAGAACTGAGGACAAATTAGGAACGAGTTGTTCCTGGACAAGGAACAAGCAAGGTGCCAGAGGAGGGCCTCATGTCCATCAGTCTTGGGTATTAGGGATCACTTCCAGAACTGATTGTCTGCTGGTGGGTGGATCTTACCTGATAAAAGGCAGAAACACACTTGAGAGTCCAACACCCCATAAATCAGGCCTCAATGCTTTTTATTTGCCCCCACTACCACCAATGTCCATCATTTAAGGCTAGGCTGACAGCACTCCTGCTGAAATCTCTCACAGGATTTTCAAAAACTATGTAGCAGAGGGCTTTGCCCACAACAAATATGCCAGCTTCCTGGTTCTTCCTAAACACAGACCCATAAACCCTGTCTCTTGACACTCCACATGCAGCTTTCAAACCTGTGTTTTCCCTGGCATGACTGCCAGTACCCACACAGCAGCTGGGCTGGCCCAAAGCAGCCCACAAAGACAGCTTGTTCCCAACTCCTCCTCCCCTCCACTTGGAGCAGGGGAGTGGGCGAGAGCTAGAAGGAGGCCAAGCCAGAGCTCACAGGGACAGCACCAACCCACAGTCCACTCTAGGTGGCCACCCTGCAGACATGGGGGGGGGGGTCACATGGCCCACTGATGGGCCTCCTCCCTGCACATGTGCAGGGACTCACTGGCACCCCCCTCTCCCCCCCGCCCCAGCCTGTGGCTCTGGGGAGCTTTGCTCCTGCCATCCATCATCACAGGGTCAGGCACAGCACCACATTGTCTAAAATTCACCTTTACACTCTGGATGAGCACATAGGATGGGACACTAGAAAGCACAAAATGGGACTAAGGAGGGTTTTTATTTTGTGTACATGGTGTGTAGGCCAGAGGTGCAGGGGAGGGGGGTGAGAGGATTCACCAGAGACAGAGTGGGGAGCAGAACGGGCAGATCCTCTGAAACGCCCTGCTGAGGGAAGCAGCAGGTGAGACAGGAGAGGTCTGCTGTGCCATGTGTGGGTTAACTCCCTGGCCAGGGATTGAACTCATATAGTGCTGAAACTTAACCTCTAGGCCACCAGGAAGGCCACAGAATGAGGAGTTTTAAAAGTACAAACAGCGAACATATTTAAATAGTTAGTATTTGAATATCCACCATGTGCCAGGCTTGGTGCTAAGTCTTTACATAAACCATCCTGTTTAATTCCAGTAACAGTCTATGAGTTAAGTACCACTACTATGTGTCCATTCTACAGGTGAGAAATAAAACTTAGAGAGGTTAGTAATTTGCTCTTCAAGGAATGTACTTAATATCACTGAACTGTCCACTTAAAAGTGGTTAAGAGAGTAAATTTTATGTCTATTTTATCACAATAACAAAAGTGGGGGCAGAGAGACTGAGTGAGAGAGACTACTATGGAGAGACTGAGTGAAAAACTAAAAATAGCCAAGCCACCTTGCCTGGCACAACCGGATTCCTAGAGAAGCACTCCCCACATGCTCACGTCATGGCTCTCAGAGAAAAGGACAAGTTTCTAAGGCACATGTGGGCAGGGTGCAAGGTTGGACACTCAGCTGCCTCCCTGCAAGCCCAGGGGTCAGGGTCTCTGCCATTTGTCCACCATTCCCTATCTCCCAGCTGAGGAGCTATGTGCCAGAGCGTGGGCTCCCCGGTTGACCATGGCAAATATTTCTGTTTTGTTCTATAACTTAGTCATAGTCTGTCTGCCTTAATCCTAAGAACCACCAACCATACCCACATAAGTCTGAACACAGCAGGATGAGCACATAGGATCTGATCTTTAATTTTTGATTTTACAGAAACAAACACTGACTAATCTGAATATTTTTGGAATAGGGTGTTTTGGATGCCTTAGATGCTAATTTAAAGAGGAGGGCTCTAAGTATTCCACGTGGTTGAAAGGCCTCTGAAAATGCAGTGCCTTACTCAATAGTAAACACAATAGATTTCTGTGTGTGGGAGACACATCAGGGCCTAGAAGTATCATTCTCAAAAAAATCTGTGAACTGGGCAGATATTTTTTAAGTCATTTGGTATTTCCACAAAATTAATTCACCCATTCATTCATTCTTTCAACATAATAAATAAAAAAATAAAGCAATCGCTTCTTGCCAGTTACTATGCGTAATGCTGAGAACTAAAAAGACAGTGTCACAAATTGAAACAACGAGATATCACAACACATGTAACTAGGAGGGCTAAAAAGAACCCCAAACTGATGATGCGATTTGCTGGTGAGAATGTGGAGTAACAGGAAAAATGCAAAAAAAGTGCTTTTACAGGCACAGTTGGAAGACAGTGTAGCAGTTACTTAGAAAGCTAAACATCATCTTACATGATCCAGCAGTTACCCTCCTAGGTATTTACTCAACTAATTTGAAAACTTATAACCATACAAACCATTATACCACTGCTTATAGCAGCATTTTCATTACTGTAAAAAACTGGATCTAACCAAGATATGTTGCATTCGGTAAATGGATCAACAAACATGTCCCCAAAATGGGATCAAGTCGGCCATGAAAAGGAACGGGCTGTAAGGCCACTCAAAGGCCCGCACGCATCTTAAATGCTAAGTGAACATAGTGAATCTGAAAAGACTACACGATGTATCATCATTCCAACTATGCAACACTGTGGAAAAAGCAAAAAAAAATACAGAAATGGTAAACAGAGGAGCAGATGCCAGGGAGTGGAGGCAGAGGGAGGTTAAATAGGTGAAGAACAAAGAATATAGGGTAGTGAAGCAATTCTGTATAATACTGTAAAGGTGGATACATGAGACCATGCATGCATTTGTCAAAATTCATTGAATTTTAAGGCAAAAAGAATGAACTTAATGTATATAAAATTAAAAAAAAATCATTTAGGATGTCAAGGACCCCATGGTGTAAAGTGGAAGGTGACACAGGAGCCCAACTGTATCACCAAGGGATGAAACAACTTTGTGACGAGCGCAGAGGAAAGGTGCTGACCTAAGTCATTTTGCTTGAAGACAATAAAGTCCCACAGGGAATTAATTCCAGCATTTGCACAGGGAACAGGCTCACAGCTCTGGAACTGCTAAGTATGTGCACCGGAACAATTAAATAAATGGATGGAGGATGACGGGAGCCAGGTCACCACTGTCAGAGCAGGAGGCTGCAGGCAAACTGCTGAGAAGGCTACAGTGCTCCCTGCGGTGCTGGCAGAGTGGGAGACGCAGTCTGAGCCCAGGTGCAGAGGGAGCTAGACACCACAGACAGAAATGTCCGCAGATCTGTTTATAAACACTGGTTGGCGCACAAACGTATTTCTTTGCTTTATCAGTTAAAAGGGCCTAAAAACAACAATACCCCAGTAGCAAAGAACACACCAGATCTTGGATTCTAATCCCATTCTCCAAAAATAGGAACCAGAACTCTTCCGAGAAATGCTGATTCTAGGTCTTGGGCCAGAAAAATGCAAGCTAAGTCTGGAATATCCTGTAGTGCCAGAAAGAAAGGGAGTTCTTAAACAAACAAACAAACAAAAAGAGAAACAATAACAAAAAGATAAGACATCCCAAACTCCAAAGCTGGAATAATTTAAGCAACAAAATAAATAAGTGCTGGCACTTGCAACCCAGTGCTGGGTTACAACTTAAAAATACATTTTTAAAAATCCATTTCTTTTATCTTTTAGGGTAAAAATATTTCCAAAGGATATTTTAGGGCTAAAGTATCCAAAAGAACTGATTAAATATCAGTCCAAATAAAAGAATTTCAAGTAACTTATATAGGACAAGTGTAGAACTCCCCACTCCTTAAGTGTGGGCTACACAGTTACTTCTTTTTAAAGAGGACAGCTGGAAGGAAAAAAAGAACTTTACAGTGGTAAAATCCAACAAACTGAGCCTCAGCCAGGTGATTGAGGCCAATTTTAATAGTGATGTCATCTTGACAGCAGCCAGCCTTGACATGATGTGATGAGAATGGCACTTTTATCCCTTTGGTCTTTCTCCCCAGAGAATTAATTCCAGCATTTGCACAAGAAAAATATCAGACAAATCCCAACTGTGGGACAGTATGCAAAACACCAATCCTTAAAACTCGAGGTCATGACAAACAAAGAAGCCTGAGAAACTGTCACAGTGAAGAGGAGACTAGGCATACATGATGATTAAACGTAATTTGAGAGTCTGGATGAGACACTGGAACAAGAGAAGGGCATAAGCTAAAAACTAAGGAAATCTAAATAAAGTATGAACTTTAGCTGATACCCTATCAATATTGCTTCAATGACAAATGTACCATATTTATTATATGTCAGTTAGGGAAGCTGAGTGCATGGGAACTCTTTGTACTATTTGTGCAATTTTTCTATAAATCTAAACCAAAATTTAGTTTTAAGAAAGTTACTATCTTACAGGGTCTCGCTGGTGGCGCAGCGGGTTGAGTGCCGTGCTGTGAAGCTGTTGCAGCCTCTGTAGCGTGGGTTGGATTCCTGGTCGACCAGGGAGAAACCCACATGGTGTGGCACACTTCTCCTGCCTCGCCCCCTACTCCCCTCAGCAGTGTCTTTGGTCCATCTACCTGTTCTGCTCCCCGCTGTCTCTGGTGAATCCTTTTGAGACAGGGCAAGCTAGGGTTATTAGGCAGTTTTAGGGACAGTGCAGGAGGGGACCTCTGAGGAATTTAGGGAGGCTTCAGAGATAAGGACAACCAAGGAAATGTAACCAATTCCACTGGGAAAAACAAACATCCTAGGACCACAGACAATCTTGTTAAGGATGGTCCTGGTTTTCTTCAGGTGATAAAGATAAGGTATAGAGATGCTCTCCCGGAAGACTGGGCCATAAAGATAAAGATGCAACAAATGGGGAAAGACAAACCTGTTAGATAAGGAATGTGAAGATCTCCCACTCAGTAGCAAATTAAGTGAGACAGCCGAGAACTGACCAATCCAAAGAGACTGGTGGAGCTTTAGA